CTCTCTGGAGACAGTACCTTTATTTCACCTGGGGAGCCTCCTCTCTTTCTTATTCTGTTTTGGTCCTGGTGAAATGGAGTTCACTTGTTTCTGGGATGGCATGTGACCCAGGCCTGGCCATCTTTACCCATCCTCCTGCAGTTATTGAGGAGATGGGGGTTGAGAAGACAAGATGCATTTCCGAATGATGCTGTTGATACCCAACCTAAGGTAGCACAATGTAAAGAAAAGCTTTTTCTTTTTCAATTCCTTGAGTAAATTTCTTAACTACTTTGAACTTCAGTTACCACATCTGTAAATGGAAACAGCATCTTTATCACAAAGAGCTGTAACAAAATAATATATGTAAAATGCCTGGTACACAGTGGGAGCTCATTAATGTTGGCGTCCTTTCTTTTTCTTCCAAATAAAGTCAGATGGATGTAGCATTACTGTAATTAAAATGTAAGAAGTGCATTGGCAGACTTTCCTTACAACATATTGAGAACAGCTTTTTCAGTAGCTACCTTATGTGATTTCAGGGAATTGGGGAGGGAAAATAAAATAAAAAATGTGGCCTGCTTTCCTGGAACAATTCAAGCCCTACCCAGTGCCTGCCAAGCCTAGCCCATAAGTCTATGTCTGCACCATCTATTATCTCACCTCTCTATAGATAAAGTGGTTTTTTTCCCCACTCACTGGCCATTTTATTTTTAAAACTGTTACTCTTTTAAATCCTTGGCAACCATTAGCTGACAGTTTGGATCATAACGTAATAATAGCGTTAGTGAGTACTTGCATGACACTTCCCTCTTTTAAAGCACTTTACAAATCTGAGCTAATTAGCATGAATGCAAACACGCCAGCTTTTTATGGATTAATATTTCGATTATACTTTGCTTTTTCAATAAAAATTCAGTGATCTTTTTTCACCAGAATTGGGGAAAAACGAGAAATGGATAAGATGCCTATCCAATGAATTCAAACACAATGTAGTTGAAATAAGAGACATTGTATTGACTCAGTGATCCTCTAGCATCCTCTGGTTTGTAAGGATTTGCAGGTATGACATCTCCTCCTAATTCTGTTTTTAAGATCAACAAAGGAAATACAGTGTATTAATGGGAAATGGAAAAGGAATATGTAAACCCAAAACAAGGTTCCAACCTTTAATATACACTTTCTATCATTTTTAAACTTAAGAATGTCAAAGCAATCAAAAAATTGTCTTCTTGTGATTTATCCTTAAACCAAATGAGAAAGTACAAAGTTGGCTCACACTACCTGAAAGGCTTATAAGATTGATGTGGCCACCAGCCAGTCCCATATTTCCTTACCTTGAGAATTACAACCACCACATGTCTATAAAGCTCACATCAGTGTAATCAGTTCATTCATTTTCTTCTATGGAAAGATAATTCACAAAATGTGAAGGTTACTTTGTGCATGTGGAGTTTGAACAAGGAGAGTCAGAAACTTTCCAATGTAATAACTTGGTGCTATTAGTCATGGTTTTTTGTGACCATATATTCAACAGATATTTGAGTGCCTGCTATGCAGCCAGTGCTGTTATGGACATAGGAATAGAGCAATGAAAAAAACAAAATAAAAATCTCTTCTTTCATGGAGTTTACCTTATCATGGTATAAGTAGTTTAGCTAGTGGGATAGAAAATATTAGAAACTTTTCTCTACTTCTATTGGAACCAGAAATCTGTAATACTTCCTTCTTCTTAGACATTGCTTGGGAAGGCACAACCACTGTGAATTTAGATGGGTGAATTCATTCAGGCCTGAATATTCTCCCATTTCTTTCAGTCTACTTGGCTATCTCTGCTGTGACGAAGTGATTTCATCAAATTCAGAAGACAAGCTGATGTTCTTTATTTACAAGTCATGAAGGTCAACTATATATAACCCTAAGAGTATAAAACATATATAATACATACAAAAACTAGATAGACTGTCTGATATGGGAAAAATAGCACTAGTTTTGATGCTGTCTTTGGTGTGACCTCTTGCTTCATTAATTCTAATCTAATTTTATATATGTCCTTTAGCAAGTTAGTGAAACCTCTCCTTTCTTTGCTTTAAAAAAAAGTAGTACAAATAATACACGAATAAACTTTCATTGTTCACAACTGCTATTTTGGTGATTACTTTAGAGTTTGTAGTATACATTTTTAATATATTACAGTGACAACAAATTTAAGTAATATTATACCACTTAGTATATAGCAAATGAATAAAATAACCTGGTAAAACATGTTTATGTTTCTCCCTTTCCAGAAATTGTGTTATTATTGTCATATATATTTCTTATGCATTATAAATCTCATGTTATATTATTATTATTTTTGTTTAAATAATCAATTTCCTTTTAAAGAAATTTAAATATAAAAATAAAAATCTTGATATCTATTTACCATGTAATTATATTTTCTTGAGCCTTTTCTTCTTTTATGCAGATTCAGCTTTCCATCTGACATCATTTCATTCTAAAGGAAGGACAAAGAAGATGAATGTCCTTTAACATTTCCTGTAGTAACTATAGGTTGATGATGAGTTCTTTCCAATGATGTATATTAAAAGGTTTAATTTGGTCTTTATTTTAGGAAGATTTTTTACTAAATAATTATAATTCTCTATGTTGACTGAATGTTTCAGATGTGTGAATAATTTTTAAATGTTGACTTAATGGTTTTATTGCTTCCTCTTCATCTTCCACCATCACTTTCATCATACAGCTGATCTTACGTCCTGAGTACAAACAAAGGTGAGATAGGACAAAGTAAGGACAGGTGGCACGTGATCTCATTTCATTCAAAAATACGTTGGTCTCTTCTGGTAGCTCCTGGCATAAAGTCCGTAAAATCCTTGCAATTTTCTATGATAAGAGCACTAGGAGCATCTCTTGTTCTAATATTAGGTCTTTGATCATGTCCCTGACACAGAGTTCCTAAAACCCTTGTAAATTCCTAAGTATCTGATAAGAACACTAGGAGCATCTTTTGTTTGGAGGCAACTCTGGATAGGATCCTGGATGGGGACTAGTCACCAGAAATACCAAACCATGATTAGAAACTTGAAAATTTTCAGTTATGCTGCCCACACTTCTAGAGAAGGGAGAGAGACTGGAAATCGACCTAATAGTTGGTTATGGCTATATGCTGAAATGTCCATAAAAATCCCAAAAGTATAGGATTGGGAGAGCTTCTAGGTTGTGAACACATGCAACTCCACAGGGGTAGAAGACCCTGTGCTTGAGGCCCCCCAAGACCTTGACTCATGTATCTCTTCATCCGTATCCTTTATCATATCTTTCAATAAACCCTTCAGTGTGTTTCCCTAAGTTCTATGGCCTGCTCTTATAACTTAATCAAACCCAAGGAGGGAGACATGAGAACTTCCAATTTGCAGTCAAGTTTAATAGAAATTGTGGGTAACCTGCTCCTGTGTGTGGCATCTGAAGTGCAGTTGGAACAGTTTCGTTAGGCTAAACCCTTAACCTATAAATTCTGACACTCTCCAACTTGACAGTGTCAGAACTGAATTAAAATAGGACAGCCACATGGTGTAATGGATGTCATGGAGAATTGTGTGGTCACCAGAAGTGTCTGAAGTAAAGTACCCTATGAGAAAATAAAGAAGAAAACAAGGGAGTAAGTGCTGGATTTTCCCCACATCAAAGGAAAAACTGGGTTTTTCCTATTACAGGCACCATGCATAATGTTTGTAATATACAGGCTAACAGTAGTCTTCATCCTTAAAGAATTCACTGTCCAGTGCTGAAGACAGACAAGGAAACAGTTAAAATAATATAAGTAATAGATGCTAGGGTAAAATAATCCAGAAGGCAGATATCTAAAATCTTGAGATAATAAATTCTCTAAAAGAAGTGGCACTTATCTTTCACAGTTTCCAACAACACAATTTGTAGAAGATGAGTGCTCAGTGAAAAGTCAAAAAAGGCTGTGTCCTTTGACAGACATTTCAGCCTCCTGAGCCTCAATTTCTCTCTCTCTCTCTTTTTTAAAGATTTATTTATTTATGCATACAAGAGCTAGGGTACAGGCCAGAGATGCGAGGGGGTGGTGAGAGGATTCACCAGAGACAGTGGGGAACAGAACAGGGGAGCAGCGGGCAAGACCGGAGAGGTCTGCTTCGCCATGTGGGGAATCAAACACGTGCTGCAGAGACTGAGGATTGCTTCTTAGTGCTGTGCTTAACTCCTTGAGCCACTAGGGAGGCCCATGAGCCTCAGTTTCTTCATCTGTAAAGTGTGACTGATGATACCAGCCCTGACTATTTCACTGGGTTAGCGTATAAACCAATGGTCATGAGAGTGATTTTTAAAATTCATTGTAAAGATCTCTAAAAATAAAATATGCTAACACAAGTTATTCATAAATGCCTGTTAAATTTTAAAATAGAAGTTGTTCAGCAGTCTACGTAAGTTCCTTTTCTTTTTTTTTTTTTATTTCATACATTTTTTACATTATTTTTCATTTTTGCACAATGTATGCATTTTCATGTTGGTTATAGTCCCCATACAATTCCCACCCCCCTTGTTTTGATCCTACTCCCTCTTCCCCCCTCTCCCTACAGGAGTGTCTCTGGTTTATAGTTGCTTGTTAAGTTTGCTTTTTACTTTATTATAATTAGGTTTTTTTCCTGATCCCTTATTTAGGTTTTCTAAATTCCTGCTATGAGTGAGACCAAGGGAAGGGAGGGAAGGAGGGGAAAGACCTTTCTAGAGTTCCAGGAATATATTTTCCATTATCCCTATTTCACAAATGCGAGAAATGAAGCGCCAAAGAACTTGCCGAAGAGCACGATCTCTCCCAAAGCCCAAGACAGGGACACGCAACAAGTCTCTACCTGCCGGCTAAAGTCAAAAGGACGTGCCGCTGGGGACTACGTACCCCCGGAAGCCCCGCCTCCCCGCCAAGGGAAGGGTTGAACCAGTGTTCAGCCCCGCCCCGTGACGTTTAGGCCCCGCCCCCAGGCCTTCCACCTCTCGCGGGAACTCTCGGGAGGACGGATGGGGTCAGGTCCCATCATGGCGGCTGAAGAGGCGGATGTAGATATCGAAGGGGACGTGGTGCCCGCGGCGGCACAGTCTGGGTGAGGCGTGGAGACCGGGTCGCAGGGACGGGGAGGGGTGTTTGTGCGAGGAGCTTACCCCAGAAAGGCAGCGGGTCGGGCAGGTGACAAGGGAGTGGAAGCCTATTCTCTGGGCCAGGATCTTCTGACGGCCTGGGAGGTGTCGCGCCCGTCTGGCCTGCCGGCTACTTCCTCTGCCTAGCAGGCGGGGATCCGGGCTAGTATCTCGTACATCTTTCACCTTTGCCTGGATGCTGTGAGAGTGCCGACTTCACCTAGCACGTTACAGTTTCTAACAGTTAGACTCCTCCTTCCGTTATCTCCACCCCAGAATCCGCCCCCCTGCCCCCGCCAGACAATAACTAGAAATAGGGCGGCTCCTGGACGGGACCACAGCTCAGGGATCCTTGTTACCTCGCTCGCAAGCCTTGTGTCCTTCGGCGAATCGTTTCTTCCCTACTGGCCATAGGTGTACTCTTCCTGCTATGGACAATTGTGAACAACTTGTGAAAGGCAGTTCAGCTGAAAGTGAAAGGACAGGACTTGAGAGTTGGACAGTTCTCGGTTCTCAGGTATTGGCTGGCTGTGCCAGTTGCTGTCAGTGTCACTTTGTGCCAGACATTTAGCTCGTCAGAGCCTCAGATCGTACATGTATAAACTGAGAATCGGGACGTGTATCTCATGGTGGTTGTAAGGATGAAATGAAATAATTATGGGATTTATTTTAGCTTATAGTAGGTGCTCTGTAAATGTTTTATTTTATAATCTGTTACTCTCCGGGGTGTTGTTAGGACCCAGTGAGGGGGGTCACAATTTATTTAATATCAATTAAGTAAAGCCAGTGTGGTTTTAAAGAACAACCTCCAGCTTAAGAGATCTAGTCCTTTGACTTCTTGCCTTCTGAGTAAGAAATTGTTATATACCACTTTTACAGTGTACTTCCAGAATCACCTTTTCGTCTAGACTGTTTGGGAACAGAAGGCCCCAGTTCTAAATTCAGTTGACTGTGTTACTTGTAGCTATGAACAACTCCATTAGAACTCTGTTAGTTTGAACCATGTAAAATTGCCAATCTGGGACCATTTTTGACCTATAAAATGGCAATTTCATATGGTTTAACCTAATAACAAGGCCTCTTTAAATTATGGAAAAGAGTACCAACCCTGCCCTTGAGAGACTAAAGTAAGGGATTTAAAGTTCTCCTAAACTCTAAAGCACTATAAGGATGTGAAGTGTAACTCAAATAGTTTCTTGAGGCAAAGCTTCCAAAAGCTATATAGAGAGTAGAAAGCCTGTAATAGCAATCATTGTTCACATTTGTGTAGCTGAAATTAATTTTGACCAACCACTTTTGCATAAATGATATAATTTACTTTTCCCAACAAGTCTATGAGGTAAGTAGGCAGGAATACTTATCTGCAGTCCAGAGAGAAATAAATTGGTCTTGAAAACACTAAAGATCACTGGAAAGCATTAACTCTATCCCTTTTTCATAATTTGGTTGTAATTTTTCTAATTGTGTATAAATTTTCTTCCTTTTCTTCCTTCCCCTCCTATTGAGGTCTCTGGTTATACCTGTGATCATGTTAATCTCATTCAGTCAGTTTCACCAAAGTTATTCGTCCCTGATCTTCAGAGCCATTGCCTTATACAAGTCCAAAGATCATCATTAACTTTATTTTGGTGAATGGCACCCTGTGATGTTGAGCTTATAGAATTTAGTGTAACTGGTGTTCCCTGAAGTATGGTGTTACAGATTATAGCAATTGTGGAGACCCTTGAAGGTTGTTTTAAAGAACACTTTTAAAACAAGAACATACTTGCTGAGTTCTCAGTACCAAAACTAGAAGATGGCCTTGAAACTTAAGTTTCCCTTTTACTTTGACCATTCCTTGTCATCTGCCTTTTCTTCTGTTTATTCTTTAAATCATAGTTTCCAAAGGATGTTGTCATAAGACTTTTACTAGCACATACAGTCCCTGGTGATACTACCTCTCAGGACTTAAATTTCCATCTGTTAGCTCGAACCATATGAAAATTTGCCAATATTTGATCCTTTTTTACCTACAAAAATGGCAGTTTCATAAATACCACCTAACACATGCTGTTTCTCAAATCTGTCAACACCCAACTCTCCGAAATTTTAGGATCGATTTTTCCAACTCTTTAGTCTGTCTGTACTTGGATGTTAACACTGGTACCTCAATCTCAGCTTATAAATTTTCCCCAGCAAACCTGTTACTCCTACTCCCCTAATTCAGTAAATGGCACTATCCAGGCAGTCACCCAAGATAGAGACCTAGACTCTATCCCTTTCCTTGCCTTTCTCTTTCCATTCCTTTTATCCTATCAGTTATTTAGGATTTGTTTATTCTAGGTATTCTTTAAAAATAAATTTACTTCTTCCTATTCGCGCTACTGATCCACAGGTCTAATGTCCCTGCAGTTTTATGTCTCTATTCCTTATTTAATTACTTGCTCTTAACTGCTCCTTTGTCTCTTTGCCCCCTTTCTACTCTTTCTGGAAGTTAGAGCATTCTTCTTTACATTCAGATATGATCATGATATTTCTTTCAATCCTCAAATGGTTTTAGGATAAAATCCTTATTACTTAACTCCTAGAGACCTATGTGATCCTTGCCAGTCTACATCATTCATTCAATTATTCAACAAGTATTGATTAAGTACCTTTTAAATGTCAAACCTTACATATATAGAAGTTTTCAAAACTAAGTCCTTTCTCCCTAGAAGTAATGTTCTTATTGAATGAGACAGTACCTTTAGATATATGTCAAATGGAGGTAAGTGGAAAAGATAAAGGAGGAAGGTAAGATAGCTTGTTAGCTTTTATCTCTATACTTACATAGGAAAATCTTAAGTTCTGAAACTACAGGACCTCAGATGTCAGTGTGAATATAGTGGAAGGACTTGATTTGAAAAGGGGAAAAGCCACAAGATTGGCAACAAATTGAATGTGCCTGGGGGCCAGGGGCGAGGGGAGGGCAGGCTTAGATTCCTGGCATGAGCATCTAGAGGGCTGGAGATGTTATTGAGTGAGACAGGAAACAGTGGAAGAGTAGCAGTGTTGAGAGGAAAGATGATCCCAGTCTGAAGCACGTTAATATGTGGTACCTATGGCGATTCAGGTATACAGAAGCATGCACCAAAGGTATGCATGTTGCCAATCCTTATTGAGGAACACTATCTAGAAATATTTCTGCAGTAAACTTGAGGTAATACTAGTCCCACCCTGTGTACTCTTGGCAGACTTACTTAGTTGAACAAAGGTTTCTTTCTGCTAGTATAAGTCTCAGTTCTTTATTTAGCATTTCTGGTAGCCTCTACCAAATCAAAATGTTAGAATCTTTTTGCCATCAGCAATTGAGGGAAATTATTGCTTTTAGCCCATTAACCCTACAATTTATTACCACTTTAGGACTAATTGAAGATTCAAAAGTGTAAACCTATTGATAGGTTTTTGCAGTTTAGAAATACAGAATTTAAGTCAGTAACTTAAATAGGAAACTTTAGAAATTCAGAATATATAAAAGCAAATATTAAATTAAATTATGATAGATTGGGCCTCTCAAAACTTCAGCTTTTTTGCATATAAGGTAAACATTGTGACTTTAGAGAGTTCTTACTCAGTGAAAGGAGCCGGAGAATTAACAAAGTTCAATACCCTTAGGCATAGAAAAGCCCCCAAATAACTCCTTTTTTTATTATATGAATTGTTATTAAAATGTTGCATTTTCTTATCTCTAGTCTGTATTATCCTTCAAGTATTTTCTCTTTTAGTTATATCATTTGTCTTCATTTTCAGGGTAATACGATTGATGATGGCTTTTATGCTTTAGATATAGCTAAAGGAATGTGTTGTAAAGTTGAATTTCTGTGTACATAAGAATACTCATCCAAAAAGAAAAATAATTAAAAAAAAATACTCATCAAAAGAAATCTGAAGTGGGCCTCCCCTGGTGGCTCAGCGGTTGAGCGCTAGGGTGCGAGGCTGCCCACAGCCTCTGCAGCACCGGTTCAATCCCCGATCCCCAGCCGCCGCCAGCGAGGGTCCCACATGGCGTGCAGACCTCTCCTGCCGCACAGTGCCCCCTGCTCCCCTCAGCAGTGTGTTTCGTCAGTCTGCCTGTTCTGTTCCCGCTCTTGCTCTGGTGAATTCTCTCACCCTCCCATGCTTCTGACTGTACCCAGTGCTTGTATAAATAAATAAGTAAATCTTAAAAAAAAAAAAAAAAAGAAATCTGAAGTGTTAGCTCATGGGCATAGATGATATTATGGTTGCTACTGTGAGCTGTGGGAGTTTTTTTCTCATGAAGTTGTTTATTCTTGGGAAGCATAAGTGAGCTGTCAGTCTTGATGTTTACCAATTGAGACAGGGATGATTTAGAGCCCCTATATAGTTCACAGACCATAGAGGTAGTAGAGCAAACATCTTTGCGATACTAAATATGTTTGTTAAGGGGAAAAGGGAACTAAATATTATTTTAACATCTATAACTTGCCAATCACTGTGCTTTGTAAATTATATCCATTAATGATATGATATATATCGGTTTCATACCCAATTTCTTAATTATTACAGAAGTGATGAAAATACAGCATCTGTTCTACAAGATCACTATCTTGATTCATCATGGAAAACTGAGAATGGCCTCATTGTGAGTATGTTATGAAAATGCCTGGTGCATTAAGTTATTATTTATTGCCCAAAGTACTTTTTTTTTTTTTTTTTTTGATTCTGGGTCTCAGCAGTCACAGGTAAATATTGAACATTTTTCTTACTATAAAAACAAAAGAGAAGAAACTTAGTCTTCTTTTGACTTGAAAGATGGTCTGTTGGGGAAAACACTTGGAGCCAGCCAAATTTAGATACAAATCTTTTCTCTACCACTTAACAGACTTGTGAACTTCAGTCTCTTCAAATGCAGGGTTCATTTCTTCATTTAGTAGCTAAGTACTTACTGTGTGCCAGACACTAGGCCAGGCTTGGTGGGGAACAACTATAACCGAAATAAGCATGGTCCTGCTCTAAATATGTTTCTATTTTAAGGGAGTCAGTTATGTTCTAAGGGAATCAGGCAATGAACAAGTATACGAACAGATTCTATAAGATGAAGTGCATAAGCAGGATACTGACTAAGAGTAACAGGATAGGGAACCTGCTTTAGATAAAGCTGTCATTAAGGAAACTAAGGAGGGGACATGTAACTTGAAAAGTAAAAGAAAGGACTAAGTATGTGAAGAATTGAGGAGAAAGTATTCTTTGCCAAAGGAATTGCAGCATCAAGTCTCTTTTAATAGCCAGTCTAGAATGTAGTGGGAAAGGAGGGAAAGATGCTGTGACAAGTTTGCAAAAGCAAATGAAAGCTCTATTATACTCGTAGGAAGCCAGGGTAAAATTAGATCTGTTTAGAAACATTTGTAGTAATCCAAGCAAGATTTGGTGGTAAATTGGCCTGAAGTTGTGACAGAAGAGGTAGGGGTGACCAGACTTGGATTACATTTTTGAGGTAGAACTGTTTTGTAGATTGGATTTGGGGATTGAAGAGAAAAGAAAAGGACCCAGGATGATGCCAAGCTTCTAGCTGGAATAAAGTGATAATAAGTAATGCCATTTATAAAGTTGGGAAGGCAGAGGGAGAAGCAGGTAAAGATACAGGATGGCGAATTCTATTTTAAATATATTAGGTTGAGAAACCTAGTAGATAGGTAAATGGAATTTTGAGTGGGTGATTGGATTTAACAGTCTAGAGCCTGGAGAAGGGACCTAAACTCAAAAGTTTGAAGTTTTGATAGTTGAAAAATGAGTGTGGTCATTCAAAGAGATTATCACTTGAGGGGAAAAAGTAAATTGTGAGTTTTGGAAATTGATAAAGTATCTGGCAAAATGCCTGATGTCTAATAGTTCTTCATCCATAATAACCATTATTACTTTATCATGAGAGGGAGCCTGAGTGTTCGAATTAAACAAACTCGAGGTTCTGTCTCTCTGCTTTTCTACTTAAGACTCTAGTAGTGCTATAGAGACATCTGTGAATTAATAATGCCATCTTGGTGTTATTGTGGGAATCAAGGATATGTTTGTGCGTTGAGTAAATTGTAGCTGTTATTTGGACTTATATTATGTATTTTCATTTAAGAAAGCACAAAAGATAATTTCAAAGACAGGAAAATATATTATTCTCTCTTTTTTTAAATAGCCTTGGACTCTGGATAGCACCATCAGCGAAGAGAACAGAGCTGTCATTGAGAAAATGTTGTTGGAAGAAGAGTATCCTTAATAATTATAAGGAAAGTAATGATTTCAGGATTGTAAATCAATACATGCAAAAATAGAATGTTACTAGATTGACTTAATTGGCCCCAGACTGCTATTACATAATATGTTGTCCCTGTAGACAAAAAACAGCATTTTATTCCTCTGCTTCTATTTTACTACTAAGTTTGAGATATGGTTCAATGTTTTTGAGTTTCTGTTGTCAACCAATTCTTTATACAGTCTGAGTAAGTAGAAATTACAGTGTTTTAACCTTCAAGCTTTAGTTCAAGCCCAAGATCATTTATTTAATCCAAGCTTCCATTTTCAGTTATATAAGCTGAAACCCAGCAATGTCATTTTGTCAAGGATACAGAATAGAATATGAAAAAGTTCTTACTTTTTACTCCACCAGTTTACAAGTGTTATGTGGGAGGACGCTAAGTTAAATGCACTAAACAAATATTATAGGATGAATATTCTCACCCCTCCCCCCCCCCGCCAGAAGTTGTGAATCCTTATCCTTGATTCAACCAAAGGCCTCCTTTTTCTTCTGTATGGGATGTAGGCAACTTAGCTTCTTTGGGATTCAGTTTTCCTTTATGTAAAATGAGAGAATTGAACAAAATAAGTTCTGAGGTTTTATTTTTGATGATGTATTTTTAATTCTTTGTTTCATACTAAGTCTTTGCAATCTGATGTATATTTAAAACCCACAGTCCATCTTAGTTTGTGCTAGCCACATTTCAAGTACTTAGTGGTTGTACATGGGATGTCAGTTAATGTATTGAACAGTACAGTTGTGGATTAAGGTACACTTAAGTGGTCACTGGTTTACTTCGAGGTTTGGAGGCAGAAATAATGAGTATATTAATGAGAGCTGTGTGAGTTCTTAGAGGACAGGGATAACATTTTCTTGTGTCTTTGTCCTCAGCACTTAGCACTGAGCATTGTGCATGATATACACAGTATACAGTCATAATTTAAGTAAAGGAAATGTCAGATGAATAAGAGTATTCCATAGGCTGTTTTTGATAAGTTTGAGAGGGATGCTTCCTGGTAGATTTGATCTAAGTGTTACTTTTATTTGGGTATAGAATAATCCTGAATTCTTCTGTTACATTTTGAAATATGAAAACAGATACTCCTAAACTACCGTGGGCAACCAATCAAATTCATCTGTTATATTTTCCATATGTTTTAGGAAAAAATATTTATATAAAACATTGAAGGTATTTCTTTTTTTAGCCACTTCTAATAGGGAAGATAAGATACTGGTGTTTATGTAGCACACATTTTTGGGGGGGCACTGTGCCGTGTGATTTCGCATATAATATTGAATCTTTTTAACCATGCTGTCAGATATACACATTTTTGTCATAATTTTTGTATACTTGGAAAGAACTTTGAGAGGAATTGGTTTAGCTGGAATTCATGTGATTTTCATGAGTAGATGATTGCCTCCCTATATAAGTTGTATAAAAATTATGACTATTATTAAAAATTTCCTTAATAATTACACAGGTATTACTTATCTAAAAAATCACTTCCAGAAAAATTCTGGCTTGAACAGAGGGAAGATGATAAAAAATACATGAAGAGGTAAAATCAATTTAAAATACTTTTGAACATTTGATTATATTTTTTAAAACTTCTTCTCAAGCTTCCTTGTTTTCTTTTTTTCATGTGGTGCAGTCTACAGAAAACAGCAAAAATCATGTATGTACTTATGTTTTATATTTAAAAACCCTTTTAATTAGCAAACATTATGGGAGACTTAAACAAAAATATAAAATTGAATTATGGAAAACATAAGTACCAAAGTATAAAATCAAAATTTTTGTTCATATGTTGGAATGCTACAACATAATTTTATGATGTTATTTATTTGTAAGACTTTCTTTCATGCCCCTACATAGGCAATTCCATTAGATTATGGAAAAGATGGCTTTGTGGGAAAATTTTAAAAAGCTACTATCTTTTAAGAATTGACTTGATTTCTATTGCCCTGCCACTTAATTTTCAGTCATTTTAAATAGAATTTGTATTTGTGGGTTTCAAAAATTAACAGGTTGATATAATATGCTTTCCCTACAATAGGAGAAAATATGATGTTATATAGTATTGTTTTATAAATAGTTTTGGGGTTTTTCTGTGTGTAGAAGAACTGGGATGTAGGATTAGAGGGTAGGGTGAGAGAATTCACCCGTGGCAGTGTGGGAAGAAGAAAAGACGGATTTACTGAAATGCACATGTAAGGGGAACAGCGGACGAGACAGAAGAGATCTGCTATGCCATATGTGGCTTAGCTCCCATTGGTGGATTGAACTCAGGCCAGAGCAGTGATAATGTTGAGACTCAACTCCTAGGCCACTGGGGAGGCCCTATATAGTTTCTAAAACTGCAAGTTTATAGGGTTCCTTAAAAAGGCAGATTTACAGATTTACAATTGCCACGAACCTGAGCCCTGAGCAAACTTTAACTTTTACATTTTGCTAAATAAACAACCAAAAAATGAAGTTGATGGGAAGATTAATGCCTCGCTTGAATTAAATTATTGAGCTTTGACACTATTTAATTTAGTTTCTTAAAGCAGTGAACATAGCATATATCTTTTTTGTTTCATTTTTACTTTTTTGGCTTAATATATACATGGATTTACATGCAAGTATCAGATGGTATTTCTGAAACCAACTTAAACTTTTATATGTCTTTCAGTATTTGGAAGGTATTAACGTCTGTTTCTTTATTGACTTCCTTTGGTGTTTTTTAGTGTTATCTTCACTCAGACCTAAGGATTATGTCTTTTTGGGCTCCTGTCATCCTGAGCTAGAAAAGTATAGGAGACAGTATGAATTTGTTCCCCCACTACCCCCCAACCGCTACCATAGTAGAGGCTGCAGCCTTCTTCCTGTCCTTCCTTTTTTAATTCTTAGACTCAAAGTATTGATTTTAGCCCATGGCTATCTATAACCTTTAGCTGCATATATATAGAATGTTCCATTTCAGAAATTTTTTTGCCATTCCTTTTTTTCCCCTCAGGGTACACTCTCCTACAAAACCAGCCAGTTACTCAGTAAAGTGGACGATAGAAGAAAAAGAGCTGTTTGAACAAGGGCTGGTAAATAGAGCAATTTTTTAATTCATAGAAAATAATTCTGGAAACAAATATTGATAAAATTATATGGTTAAATTAATCTGGAGACTGGAAACTTTTTTAATTATAATGATCACACCTATAGCTTTTCTGTAGTTAAAGTGATGATGTTTTAGTGTAATATAAGAGAATTCTTTTTAACTCATATTAGGTCACTATAATATTAAAGAAATTTGGATCTGTATATTAGATGTCAAACTTTTTTTGTTGTTTTTATTAAAACCCAGGAAATTGAGCTATATATCATGTCATGTTTACTTGACACCAATTAAAAGTGAAAATGATCTGTTTTTTATCAAAGGAAAATCATATATATTTGAAACTGGGTGATTAGCTGAATTTATTTTTATTCAGATATTTGCCCTCTAAATATTTAAGTCAAAATATGTTAGTGAATTCAGTTGAACACTATAAACATTTCAATGCATAAATGTTTCACTGAGCTCTGTTTAAGAGTCTGTAAGCTACATAATGGAAAAAAAATAAGTATGCCAATTTCTAATAATTCTAAAAATACCCTTAACAGAAGAAATCTTTAATAAAATTTTTTTTTTAATATCAAGAGTAGGTTATATATTTTCCTTTAAGGTGCATGTTACCTAATATTGCAGTAGTTAATTTTGAAATTATGCAAATTATATATAGAATATATCATATTTATATAGGATTCATCAGTGCTAATTGAAATAATTGCTTTCTAAAAATAGTGGGAAATACAATTTGTATTTTTGTAGTTCATCATCATTATGACATGTGTATTCTTGATGTTATATAAATGCACAAACTATATTGAAGGTTTTATCTTTTCCTGAGTTTTTTTTCCCTTAACTGTTGATGGTTTTATATTGGTTTTTCAGTTTTCTGACTTTAATCAGTCATTTGTATAAGATAACTGACAGCTTTGGAGATTTACTCTTATCACAACCCAGATCTCTCTCTCCCTCTCCCTCTCCCTCCCTCTTTCTCTCTCCCTCTCCCTCCCTGCCTTCTCCCAGACACACAGATACACATACATATGTTTACAAATTGCTTGTGAAATTTTAGGTAATTTTAGTGGCAGTTATGGTAGTTATAGGAGCCCCATTTGCATGATTCAAAAGGTACCTAAAGTAATAGGTTCTTAAGTCCTTCTCTTACTCTTATCTCAGCCTTCAGTGTCATCTGTTTTACATGTATCCTTCTAAAGAGGTATTTTGTTTGTACAAGCAAATGTATTTATTTATATATCATTATCTGTCTGTATACCTAAACAGACATTTTAAATTTTCACCCCCCAAAAAAAACAAAACTTGTTTTTAACTTTATAACTCTGGTGTAGTTTGCTTATAAAATTAATTCCTCAGATTTGAGGGAACTATGTAATACTGAGATTTTTTTCTTTACTTTCTTGGTCATAGAACTGTCCCTTTGCTCTATTTTGAAATTGTGAATGCTTTCTTTGCTCCTCTCGTTTGTGTCCTTTCCCAATTTTGTAAAGTCCATACCTTTACAAGCCCGACTGGTCACACTTTATGCAGATCTGTCCTGTCTACAAAAGTGTTCCATGTTGCCATTATCCCACTATAAGGATAAGTAATTTTTAGTTATCCTCACCGAGGTATTAGTTAAGAACAATCAAATAGCTAATTTACATTTACTGTTAATTTTTCAAGAAGTACTTTCAGTTTTACAGTTATCCATAAGAATGCCGGAGTATCTGAGATAGTATATAAATTAAGGTTTATCAGATGAGTGAGGTCTTTGAAGTGATATGCTACTAAAGGCCTGTAAACCTGGCCTACAGGTGTCAGCTTCCCTGAGTTGTGGCCCTTTTTTCCCTAATAGTTTTGAGAATTCTAAAAAAGTAAAGTTGTTGAGCTTTGTGAAGTAAAAGTTGGAGATACTGTAAAGTAGATTTAGGTATCAAACAATAGACTTAACAGGCAAAAATCCTTTTTCTCTTTCAAATTAATGTGCACTCCTTTTTGTACTTTAGAACACACAGGCACTCCCTCAGTTTGTCATTTTTTTCCACCACAGCTTCAATGTTAACAGGTATAACCTTTGACAGTAGTGGGATATAGGGAGATGTTAGTTCCAAATCACTCCACTTGTGAGTCAGTCTTCTAAATCAGTTCACTGTGATAACTATTGAGAGTGGAACTACCTTCTGTGGTGCATGTAGTGTATGTTTTGTAACAGATGGCATCTGGATTTAAAAATACAATTTTGAAGTTAGTGTCAAACATTTCCAGTTGCTTCTATAAATGGAAAATATAATATGCCTCCCTTTTAGGCTCATTGTCTTAGATTTGTAACATAGAAAACAATATACATATGTACTGTTAGGTAATGGAAGTGATACATCTTCTTTTAGATAGCTATTTATATTTTTTTTTAAAAAAGCTAATTTCTATATTGTACTGGTCAGTTTTCAAAATTTCAGATTCCAGAAGAATGTGAGTTTTGATTTTAAGAGTTTTAGCTATGTAGGAGGCCTTATTGTGTGTTTTAGAAAATAAATAAGATGCATTTTTTTAAATATGGCAATTACTTGGAATATTAATGAGTAAGTTAATGAAAAACTATTTCTTTTCCACTTTGATAACAGGCTAAATTTGGCCGAAGGTGGACCAAAATTGCAAAACTAATTGGAAGTCGCACTGTTTTACAAGTGAAGAGTTATGCCAGACAGTACTTCAAAAATAAAGTAAGCAAAATATAATTACAAACTTAATAATTATAACATTTACAGTAAGTAAAACTAGTAAACAGATAGTTTTTTAATTCAGAGATTGAAGTGTTAATATTAAGCATTTTTACAGTGAAACTTTTGTATCCATTAATTACTGTCTTGATATTTATCTTTTAAAATCTCAAAGCATAGCTTCAGTATTTTAAGTGTTGCTATTAAATAGGTATTATGTTATTATTCCACTTAATTTCTAACAGTTAAGTAGAAGGAGAAAATACTAATGGCTCAGGATTATCCTATAAAGCAAGGAGTATTTCGAAGAGAAAATCATGTTTTATTGTTTTGAGGAAAATACCTTTTATTTTTAAATATTTGTATTATAGAAACTTTTTAAGAATTATCAGGGCTTAAGACCATGAATACTAGCATGATTCTGAAATCTGTTTAATAACAATGAAACTTTTATGGTTTGGAAGAATTAATCTGAATACTTTATATTCTATATCCTTAATATGTTCTGTTTAAACTCTATTATTATAAAATTTGGAAATGTATTAGATGAAGTTTGGTGTTTTGATAGATTTATTTATATACAAGATTTATCTAACTTAACAGCCTTTGGGACTATGTAGTAAGTAAAGGAATGGATACATCATATGTCAATCATCTTTTAACCAAGCGAAGGCATTTTCATGACAGCTTACCAAGATTAAGATGTTATAGGACAGAATAAAGCTTAACTTGGTTACTTTTACCCCCATGTTTCTCATGTCAGTTTTTTTGTAAGACTAGGGGGTGGGAGGGTAATTTTTAATATTAAAACATTATTATGAATTATAATGCAAAATTTTATCTTAATTCTTAGGGTTAAAACATTAGACTTAATTATTAGCAAGGTTGTTAAAAGTTGTTCTAGGGCCTCCCCGGTGGCGCAGCGGTTGAGCGCTGGGTTGTGAAGCTACCCGCAGCCTCTGCAGCGCTGGTTCGATCCCCGGCTGCTCCCTGGCCATTGGAGGAGGGTCCCAGTTGGCCCGCAGACCTCTCCTGCTGCCTGCTCTGCTCCCCGCTCTGGCTCTGGTGAATTCTCTCACCCTCCCACACTTCTGACTGTACCCAGTGCTTGTATAAATAAATAAACAAACAAACAAATAAATAAATAAATCTTTAAAAAAAAGAAAAAAGTTGTTCTAGACTATATGCACAATTCCTCTTTTTCCTCCTGCTACACTCTAGTTTTCTACATAGTAAGCCAGTTAACCCCAAATACATGTTCTGGGATTGTGTTGTGATACATGATCTATAAATAATCCCTTGGGGGAGCTGTCCTGTTTGTGAATATATCAGTCATGAATAAGATTTCTCTGAAACTTTGTATATAAAGATTTTATTTCAAGTCTTATGTATTTAGTGATTTTCACTCTCTTCTTCTAACTACATTACCAAATACAGCTGTAATTAACAAATATGGAAGAAATTGCATGCATTAAATTATAAACTTTATATTGGAGCGACATTAAATAAATCTGCAAAAAAATTATTTCTATTGTTAATGTACTTAAGTGAAAGATGATTTTAATTTCCTAAGATATATGAGATAGATTCCTTTAAATAAAGGCTATTTTAACATTATAAAATATAATCAGTTTGCTTAGGTATCAGATAGTCTGAGAAATAAGCCTTTAAAATATTTTAATATCCTAGAGAATACTTTACTATGGCAGTTACTGGTTCATTCTTTATGGCTGTTCTGAACTGAGATGAAATTTTAAACTTACTGTTGAAAAATATGTAGCATTTCTATGCAATTAATGATTATTTTGATTAATAAAAATCACCAAGCCTTGAATAAATCATTTGTTTATAGAAATTTGAAATGGTGACTTTTCACATTTAAAGTGAGTTGCAGGCATTTAAAGAAAAGCAAAATACAAATATAATACACCATTGACATATATAGTATTGTATTTTCTCTGTGTGTGTGTGCACCAATGATTAAATCTTAATATTATGAAATTTTCATTTTGGTTCTTAAGGTAAAATTAGATGGTCCAGAGAAAGAAACTGCAAATCAGAAGAGCAGCAGTGATCTTCAGGTTAAAAATGAAGTTGTGGGGACAAAGTCATGGACACCATCAAATTTAAGGGGACATGCTGATCCCAACTTGAATGCTATAAAAATTGAGAAGTTATCTGATGATGAAGAAGTAGACATCACAGATGAGACAGATGAGTTGAATTCTCAAGTACCCCAAAAGAATCCTAGCAGTGATCTCTCAATAGGAATCCCTAATAATAAATTGCACAGAATCAATCAAGGAGAATTCATCGCTTCTCACAGCTGGGAACATCCCATTCCTAAATCTTCCAAGGAATGTCTTCAGAATGTAAAGCATGGTGAAATGGAAACCCTTTCAAGTTCAGGAGTTACATTTTGTGTTGAAGAGCAGATTACCACTGACAAAAAATCAGTTGAATTAAATGACCAGAAATCTAATAAACTGGCAAAAAACTGTGACAAGCAGGATGGAAATGATGCCAGCCAGTTGCCTTCTCCAGAGCTTTGTGAAGTTCAGAAAGCTTTGAGTGATAATGCAATGTTTTCTCATTCGTCTTGCCAAGTAGAAGAAGAGAACCATGAGGAAGAAGAGCTTAAACCACCAGAACAAGAAATAGAAATAGATAGAAATATCATTCAAGAAGAAGAAAAACAAGCAATTCCTGAGTTTTTTGAGGGACGCCAAGCTAAAACACCTGAACGATATTTGAAAATTAGAAACTACATTTTGGATCAGTGGTAAGAAAGAATTATATGTTAGATGCTGTTTTAAAATTTATACTCAATAGTATTTTAATTAGACCCTTGCAGAATTTAGTATTTTATGTTGCTGGTGGTAAAGGAAGCTTTAACATATTAATATATTTCAGTAGGCAAGACTCAAGACTTATTAGTGAAACTTTTTTTGAAAGTTAGGAACATTATCATTTGCTCTTACCATAACCTATCTGAATATTCATTAATAGTGTTTAGTCCTGAAATAATAGATGATTGCCCTAAGAAGCAACTTCTTAGGACAATTTTAGGAAGATACAGAAAACCCTAATGTACTAGAAGAGGAGGAGAGTGTTTTCCTTAGTATATCACGTACTTTGAAGTATGAAGACAACAGGGATTATAGAATGCTAGTTTTAGTAAATAGCTATATTGCAGGAATCAATATGTAGCTCATAGTGCAGCATCTGGCATAAGTATTCAGTAATTTGTTGCTACTATTAGTTCTGTTAAAGTTTGTATTGTACCATCTAGCACGGTGCCTTAAGTATATTAGGTAAACATTATTTTTTAAATCCCTCGTTTCTTTCAAATAGTCTCAGTATTTCATGATATCTTTGGAATCCCCTATGTTTCTGTTTTCCACTTAATATTGATTGGCATAATCATTAGAATTAATATAAAAAGTTTTAAACATTTCTAAGATAGCTTATAATTGATACTTTCCCGCCAAGCAAAAACTGATGAACCTAAGTAATATATTAAAAATTGGCAAAGTCTAATAACAAATACAATGTATTGTCAAAGTGTCCTTTTTAGTCAGATTCCTTCTTGAATTTGCATCTGTAGATAAATGAGCTTCTGACTTCACAATCCTGAGATAACTGGAATCTACTGAATTAAATATTAGGGAAGAAGTAATACTTAAAGAAATCACACTATACTTTTATATTTTTGCACCATTTAAATGTTTGTTATTTCAGAAAAAACTACACTTGAATATCGTGAATTATTAGCATTGTATTTACTACACATTTACACATTGAGAAGGGGTAATTCTTTAAGATATTTCAAATATTTAAAGTTTTCCCCAGAAATCTTTTTTCATGTTTATATTTATCCAAAATAATTGTATTTCCATCTCTTAACTAGGGAGCTATGCAAACCGAAATACTTAAATAAGACCTCAGTACGTCCTGGCCTGAAGAATTGTGGTGATGTTAATTGTATTGGACGGATTCACACATACCTCGAGTTGATAGGAGCAATCAATTTTGGATGTGGTAAAAATAAAAACTCAAAACCTCTTTTACTCAACATTTTTATCGTTATAAGCATCCATTAATTTCTTTGATGGTTAGCATTCAATAGATTTTAAGAAAAGATATAGAATTCAGATGCTACAACATTAAATAATATAATATTGAGATTGTGAACCAGTTTTTGTTGATTAGACTATATTACTTTTTACCTACAGTGAAATTGATTGTGTAATTTTAAAGGAAACATATTTGGTATAAGTAGTTGAAATAATATAAGGATGAAGTTCTTTGTCAGGTGAAAGTAAGATTACTTTATAAAAATCTAATAATAGCCCATTTAATTTTTAAATACTGCTAGAAATACTCTGTAACAATGTTTAGATAAGGGAAATGATTTATGAACCTCTACATTTAAATGTAAGAAGTGCCAAAATATTTTTCATGAAAAAAACTTCTCTCACCTTAGTTTTTCTCACATTTAAAGTTAAGGAAATATAATATTCACAGATAGAAATTGTAAGGTAATTAGAACTTTGTAATCCATGGTTTGAGAAGAGTATGTTCTATATTCTGTATCTGAAATGAAAAGTAACTAGGAAACTTGTCAGATAATTTCATTATATACAGAGATAGAATTTACAGTCTGCCCTGAGGTCTGACCTTCACGTTGGTGTCTGTTTGGCCAAAGCACTCTATGCTGGGACTGGCATTATAAGAAAACTAAAGTGTCATAGCTTGTTTAGTCACTAAAAGAAAAATGAAATCATGTTTTCTGTATTAGACTTCCAAAGTTAGCAAAATTAGCTTAGTACTCATTAAATCAGAAATTAAATGTATTATCTACTTCCTAATTATCCCATTTTATAAATTTTTCCTTGTAATAATAGCATTGCTTTCATTGTAAGATCTACCAACTAGCACAATAAATCTGGATTAACAGGATAAGAGAATCATAAAAGTTCAGGTATAAAGAAACTTAGAAATTAGCTTACAATTTATAATCAATGTAATCTTCCTATTTAACAAATTAGTTTCATAAAATAATAGATTGTTTTGTTTTTCCTGAATTCCCATAGAACAGGCCATATATAACAGGCCACAACCAGTTGATAAAGTACGAATCAGAGACAGAAAAGATACAGTAGAAGCGTACCAACTTGCCCAGCGTCTGCAATCTGTGGTAAGCTGTCTTTCTCACTAAATGATTGTTCCTAATTGTTGACACCCTGTTAAGGTGGCTCTATAAGGCAAAAGAAAGAAACGAAAACTCAAAATTCACTGATAAACTATACAATACTATAATGTTTTGCTAAAGTTGTCTTAGACTGCTTGGTTTTTATTTCTAAATTTAATGTATCTTTTAAAAGTATTATACAGTGAGGCTGTTTTTTCTTTTTGGTTATTGTTTAAAATTCTTACCTTGAGATTCTACTTTTTGGAAGAGCTATTCAAAACATTTTAGCCTTTATTTTTTAATACTTGAGGTTAGTGAATTTGACAATATTTTAAAGTTCATGAGTTTTATTTAAAAAAATAAGTGTGTCAACAAATCTCCTAAGAGGCAAAGTCATACAGTGATCCTTTTGGTTTTACTGATAATATAGGTCAATCTGGTGATGGGTAAGTAACATGAAATCAGTGAGGATGATGGTGTAGGTATCTTTCTCAGTATTTAGAAGTGGTGTAAACCACTTCTGCTTAGATTTATTAAAAAAGATGTTTTCAAATACAATAGCTAGAGATGGTGCTACTCATAGACTGACATCTAACAGCCATTTTAAAGGCTTCAGTATTGGGCCTCCCTGGTGGCGCAAGGAGTTGGGCACAGCACTGTGAAGCTACCTGTAGCCTCTACAACACAAGTTCAATCCCTGGCCAGGGATCTACCCACATGGCGCAGCATACCTCTCCTGTCTTGCCTGCTGGTCCCCTCAGCAGTGTATTTCAGTCAGTCTGCCTGTTCTGCTCCCCACTCTGTCTCTGGTGAATCCTCTCACCTCCGCACCTCTGGCCTGTACCCCAGTTCTTGTATGCATAAATAAATCTTTAAAAAAAAAAAGGCTTCAGTATTGAGGTTTGTAAAACTTAGTATTAAGAATTCAATCAACCAACTTGTAGTTTTTACTTTTTGTGTTAACTTGGCAATCTTTTCCATTTTAAGACTGAGATATAATTATTTTGCCTCTAATTACCACTCTTGTATCTTTTGTTGTGTATTCTTGCAGGTTCTAGCAATATAAGTTTTCTACCACAGGTAGTTGAAAGTAAAATTATTTTATTGTTGTGGACTTTTTGATTTTGAAAGTATTTTTGTCCTAGTGTTTTAGCTCCCAAATCGTAAAAGGAAGTGAAAATTTAAAAAGAAATCCAAGTAAAATACAGAAAATCATCACTGATTTATTTTTGAATGGGTGCTAACTGTTGAACGTAAAGTAGTAAAATTTAGTCAGATATTGCAATCAGGGGTTATAATCTTTTAATAAAGAAATTTTTAGAAAATTACTATTTTGGTTTAGTGTATTAATGTGCTGTGATTCCTTAAGAGTTAATCTTGCCACCTTTTGCTTTATTTTAATCCCATCACAGCGCACAAGGAGACGTAGAGTCAGAGACCCTTGGGGAAATTGGTGTGATGCAAAAGAGTTAGAAGGACAAACATTTGAGGTAATTTGAACTTTTTCAAATTGTTTATTAGTGAAGGTTTTATCAATACGTGTTTAATATCAATGTGACAGATACTATACATTGTGTGTGTGTGTGTGTGTGTGTGTGTGTACGTATCTCAACCTGTGTTAATCTTTTTTGTTTAGAAGTCACCAGTAAACAACAGAATAGCAAGTGCTAATGGTGCAGTTAACTAAGTGTTTGACTCATTTTCTGAACATTGATTGTCTTTGCATTCTGATTTCCAGCTCAAGAATATGTGCCAGGTGCCAGGAAGTTGGTATGCCCAATTCATTTTAGTGAACATTTATTGAATGATATTCTGATATACCAGTTAAAATACTGTCCCAACAGTAGATATAAATTACAAATAATGAAACATTTCTCTATTAAAAACTGTAGCCCTTAAAGGAAACATAGGCAATGAATGTGTGTATACATACACATATTTCTGAAAGAACTGGCTTTGTTACCTTGAGCAACTACTTAACCTCACTACAGCTCAGATTTTTTTTTCTTAAAATGTGGATAATAATACCTCCTGCAAAAATTAAGTGAAATAAATGAAATTAAAATTTGTGAACATCTTTGTATTAGGTACTCAAAAGCCTTGCTTGTACCAGATACTCAATACATGTTATCTTCTTCCTCTCCTCTCCATTCCTTCCCCCAACCGCATACCTGAGCAGTATTCTAAGCACAACAATTAGTAAAATATAAGTTACTGCCTAGAAGGAACTTCTATTTCTAGTAGGAAAGATAAAACCTGTGGTAAGTTCCATGTGATTCGTCCCAAGAAATAAAAAGGTTATCCCAAAGAGTGATCAGGGATAGTTTCTCATAAGATAAGATCTTTTATGTGGGACTTGAAGGATGAACAGGAGAATCCCAAAATGTAGAAAACTAGATAAGGGCATTCCAGACTGAGAGAAAACATAAGCAAGGATATAGATGTGGAAAAATATCAAGCATATTCTTGAAAAAGTACATAGTGCATTTGGGCTAGAGTGTAAGATTGGTAATAGAAATGGAAAGAAAAAGCTATATAATTAGATTTGACTTACTAAGTGTTAAAACACTATTGTCTGTATTTTACAAACATTAACTCAATCTTCACAATAACACCATAACATTATTAATATTACTATTGTTGTTTCCATTTTAAAAATGAGGATAGACGCATAGAAGCTTTTAGTAACTTACCCACGGTCGCTCAGCTAGTAAGCAGCAAAACCAGGCATTTCCTTCCAGAATCTGTGCTCTTTGTCATTATACTTCATTGTTTCAATCGTGAAAGAAAATTCAACACAGCAGAACGTGGTGACTAAAATTGGCAAATAATAGGAAAGATTCAGGTGATTCTAAGTTTTTGAACCTGGATGACTGCTATCATTAATCAAAATGAAAATTTCAGCAGAAAGGGTAAATTTTAAGTTTGGTATGGCTGGGTATTTTGGAATAAATTGATACATTATTCAGCATCTCTGTTAGCAGGGAGGAGGAGACACTTCCACACCAACTTAGTCTGTCTTATTCTCACATGCCACCAAATCTGACTTTAAAAGAATATTTTTATTCTACCTCTCAGTGGTCTACGGACTCTGATCCACTGTTGTTTTGTTTTAGCATCTCTCTGCTGAGGAGTTGGCAAGAAGAGGAGAAGAGGAAAAATGCAAACCTGTTAAATCTTCAAAAGTGCCAAGATCAACAAAAAGGTATAGTGGTGTTACATATTGATAAATGTGCATTTTTTTTTTTTTAGCTACAGATAATTAGAAAATATGCAGACAAAGTATAAGCTATGACTGCATTCAGTAAGAAATGCAGCTAAAATTTTTGAAATGTTTTATTTCACTGATTATCAGTTTGGGAGACCTTAAGCAAAAGTTTTGTCAGGTACAGTGAATATAGGATCCAACCTGTGTTGTAAAGGGGGCCTTATTTATGACAGGTAATTGTTCAGCTCCTTAGATTTTATGAATAAATACCTCATGAAATAACTGGTTCTCTCTTTGGGTGGTGCTGATTGTTAGCAAGATTTTTTTTTAAATATAAAATTTGTGACATATCATTAAGGGCTCCCAAATAATGTAAATGTCTTGATTTTCTAGATCTTCATACGCCTTTCAAATGCTCTGTTAAAGGGACTATAGTTATCTCAGTGTCCCTTTATAAAGAGATATCCAAAAATACCATTAGATCATTTTCAATGGAATTAACCTCGATTATTACCAGTTATCTGTCCCTGAATATATTACTTAAATATTTTATAAGCCTTGGGTTCTCATTTATAAAATAGTAACTGTAACAGCTAATATACATTAAAATTTACATACATGAACTCATTTCATTATAACAACCAAATGCAATAGGTAATATTCCCATTTTGAGGAAACTAAGGAGATTTTCTAACCATTACATTATCTATATCAACTTCTCTAAAATAATTAAAAGTTACAGGTATGAAAATATATTAAATGAGATAAGCAGTGTAAAAAATACAGTCATCCATAAGCTGTGATTCCTCATCTACTATTTAGACATTTTATTTCCTGAATCTAAATATGAGATTTCTATTGTGATTTCCAAGTCACTGTTCTAGTTGGTCACACTCTTTGAATTCACATTCACTTTCCTTATATTAGTCTTTATAGCTTTGAATCATCAACATTTCAGTAAGCTTGCTTTTCTGCCTCTAGTTACTAGTAAAAGTGTCTAACGGGGATAAGTATAAACCTCAGACATCTTTCAGCCAGCTGTATAATACCAGTTAGCCTATATTTCTTCATCTTAGTGTGCAGAAGTAAAATTATTGAAGATGTCTTGCTTGCATTCAAATAAAGTATATCTGAGTTTATGTAATTTGCTAGTTTCTACCATCATTCCTATAAAAATGAAATCTAGGTCTACTTAATGGCTTGTATTTCATAAACCCATAATTGTTCTTAGTAGTCACCTCTTCACTTACTGAAGGCTCACTAACCAACTTTTCTAGAATTTCCTCAATATTAAACATTTAATTACTTTGCCTCCGAAATCTGCTTTTGTGTGTGTTTTGAAAACAAGCTCAGTAATTACCTATTTCTAATCTTCCATCAGTGTTCTCATTCTCTGCAGCTCCTCAAAAAATGTTGACAGTGGGTTTATATCATGTGCTCTCTTTCTGTTTTCTGTTGTATTTCTTACTGTATTTTCTTCTCTTTCTACTTTCTCATCTGTCTGGCCTTTAGTTTATTTGAATTAAGTACTTTTTAACTTAAAGATCTTACTTCATTCAAAAGATGTTTTTTGAGTGCCTGTACTATGCGTCAAGCACTTGTAGGAATACAGTATTCAAAAGTCTTTCCTGGAGCTGTCTTGTTTCCAACAGGAACTAAATAGTCCTGCTCTTTTTTATTTGCATTAATGTGAAAAAACATTGTTTTTTGCTCTCTAAACATTTCCTTAAAAAAGCCTTTCATTTTTCTTGATAGATTTCTCATACTTCAGTTCTTCACCAGCCCAGACCTTTTTAACATTTCTGAGATTTACACATGCTTTATATCTCAACTTGCTTAGGTGACCCCTTCCCATCTTTTTTTGTTGTTGTTTACTTTTTTGTTTTAAAGTGGTCATAAAACTTTCTATGTACATTAATGTCTTTGGTAGATCTCTGTCATTTATTCATTCAGCAATTATTTATTAAATCCATAATCTGTGCTGAATACATTTTATTGTACTGGAAAATATTTTTGAAAAACTTAATCTTTCTTAAAATTTTTCCTCTCCATTCAGGGAAGTAGTTAAACATTTCATTGAACTTTTTGAAACATATTTATAATGTAGGACACTGACTAGCCACTTGTAATGTTCTTACAGTTAAAAGAAGTTAAAAAGAAATTAAGACAATAACTGCTTTCTTCCAAAGGTCCTGTCATTTCCTCTCCTTCCTTTTTTATCAAATCCAAAGGAACCGTGCTTCTTTCAAAAGGGTCATGGTGGAATGTCTAAGAGATTCTTCTAGTTTATTATTTTTTCTCATTCTACAAAATTTAGGTTTGGATTGATATATATATTTAGACTTATGAATAAATGTTATTTTCCTAATCCTAGTATTGAATTTACATTAGAAATGGATTTTTTTTTCTTTTTCAGCTCATTTGATCCCTTCCAACTGATACCTTGTAATTTTTTCAGTGAAGAAAAGCAGGTACTACTTAATGCATCACTGAATGATCATGAATAATACCCTCCTGTCAGACATGAAATACTTCTTCTTTATATCCTTGTTTGAGGCATATGTATATGAAGGATTGGACTAGGCAGGGTATATTAAGGGTTAGAGGAATGATACGATGGAAAATAAGAGGGAATTTTCCCCCTGTTAGGGTTTTAAATGGTAATTTTAAGAAGTCTGGCTTGTGCTGAACCTTGATTGGTAATGAGACAGTAGGTAAAGGAGAAAAGGGTGGACAGCTCAGTGAGGGAGAACAAAATCTCTATTTTTATGCTCCCCCATTTTTTTTTTTTTATATTTCAGGAACCATTTCAGGTGAAAGTAGCTTCAGAAGCACTTTTAATAATGGATTTGGTAAGGATAATCTATTGTGTTTACTTAGTTATTCTGATTTCTATTCTTGTGTATTTTTATTGCAGGCATAAGAGAAAAGTATGGAAGACCTGTATTTTGGATCTTAACTATCCTCTTTTACAAGGAATCTAAAAATAAGTCTTTTCTTTTGGAGAAAAGCCAAACAATTGCATGTTTCCATATTTTAGAGAAAATAAATTAATGTGAGTTTTTGCAGACTGTTTATCATCATTAACCCTGTTTTCATTTTCTAGTATCCTTTGTCTGCTACCTTCTAGATAACTGCAAGAAAGCACAACTTCTGTAATTTGGAGTTTCCTTTTTTGCACTAAACTACTGAGACTTCCAATAGTTGTGTGTTTGTTCATGGAGTTTTTCTGTAGGAGAACCAAAAATGATTTTTATTTTGTACCCTTATAATTCCTTCCCTAAAAAGGGAGAGCACATGGTATCTTAGAGTCTGTGAATGTTTGGTTCAAAGTTCTTAACTACCATCAAGGTAGATCTGAACTCTTAAAAGTCACTGCGCAATGGGCAGAGCATCTAGTTCCTCTACTATGCTATTTTATTTTACAAAAGCATAGTTACCATACTTGTGAATGACTCTCCTATGATAAGTGAGTTTTATTCTGATTTTTTGTCAGGTGGGTTTGTTTGTAGGACTAAATCTGTTTTGTATTTCTTTTAGCATGCTCATGTTTCCATGGCAGAAGTGATTGGTCTGTTAGGAGGAAGATACTCAGAAGTTGATAAGATAGTTGAAGTAAGTTTTCTCTTTAAACATTTTTGAAAATTACTTATTCCTCTTCCATATGATTTCAGTGACTATAATTAAAATACAGATTTTACCTGGGATAAAAATAAGAATGTGCAAATGTAGAGACTTTACTCCCAAAAGTGACTTAAAGTTCCATATATTGAGCTGAGGCCTTGCTGTCTCATTGCCTTCACCAATAAAATGTTACAACTCCTAAGATATCAGGAAGCATGTCCTGACCTTATTCTTAAACTTTAGTATGCATCATTCTGTTGAAATTATTATCATAAGTAATAGGGGTCATTCAAAGTGTATGTTTGTACAAGTATTTTATGAACTGACCTGGAAAACCAACAATTCTTACAGTCTTGTTTGAGTGAAAAATTAGATTCTGAGTACCTAGCTTAGTTGTAAGTTTTTAGCTTACTGGCCGCCTATCATATAGGCAAATAAAAGGGTGGGCTTTGAAAGGTTTCTGTATCTATATATGAGAGAACTAAAGCATTAAGGTAATAGAATTAACAGGATTTTGGTTATCATGTAAGGATTAATCCTTTATAGGTTTTTGCTGCAGAACCATGTAACAGTCTGAGTACAGGACTACAGTGTGAGATGGATCCTGTCTCACAGACACAGGCCTCGGAAACCTTGGCTATAAGAGGCTATAGTGTCATTGGATGGTATCACTCTCATCCTGCCTTTGATCCTAATCCTTCCTTACGAGATATTGACACTCAAGCCAAATACCAGGTGTGTTCATAGGTCTTACATGTATGTATTCTGCAAATAGTTGTTTTCTCTCCCCTCTCATTGCTTTCTATTAAATATACTTTTAACTTTTCTAGCAAAGTACTGCATTTCTGATATCTTTACATCTGGAGCTTTTCAATAATTTGCATTTTTTCCTGACTACAATAATAATAATATGTTTATTTAAGCATTTAAAAAATCAATTATTTTGTTTAATACTAACAAGCTATCAAAGTAACCGTGATGATTTCTCCAGAGCCTTTAAAAAGTAATATGGACAAGTAGAATAGGGAGTGGCTATAATTGAAATAATCAGAAACATAATATATATTTTGCCTTTTTAGAAAAAAACAGTTTTGTTTTATATAGGTGAATGTTTTGCTCTAGGCAGCAGTTTGTAAATTATCACCATATTGATAAAGATTATAGCTGAAGGGTACTGAATATATTTTGTAAATATATTCGTGGCAAATGTGGAATTTTGCAGGCCAGGTTATCTTTTTAAGGGTCATTTCAGGCTAGGATAAACATATTTTGGCCTGAAAAATTTAGAGTCTGGGATGAAGATACTCAACATTTCATTTGGTTGCTACTTAAATGTGAAAATTCTAACATCATTTTGTTCTCTTTTGTTCTCTTCATCAGTAGATGTTTAAAATTTTGGTATGGATAAATACTGACTTTGAGGTTTATGTAGTTGAAGCTAATTACACTTTTCCTTTAATTGTAGAGTTACTTCTCCAGAGGTGGCGCAAAGTTCATTGGAATGATTATTAGTCCTTACAATCACAACAATCCTTTACCTTATTCCCAGATAACCTGCCTGGTTATAAGTGATGAAATTAGCCCAGATGGCTCTTATCGTAAGTTTTCAACAAAACAACTTCACCGTGTTTTTGCTTTTACTTCTTTCAACTTACAAATCAAAGAATTTACAGCTGTGAAAAACTATTTGATGGAAAAATTTGTGCCCTCAACTAGGAAATCACTGTTTGCATACCATATAGTACAGCCACTGTCTTCCCTTTTATGATATACTTTCAAATTCAAATCTCCACTGTTACTACCACGACCACTGGGCATAAGGCTTACAGTGTGGAGAAAAATTATGGCCAAGCAGTGTGTGTTTTAGGTACTGGAGACACTGCCATAAACAATTTAGACAAAGACTCTGTTCTCATAAAAATTGCAGACTGGCGTTCTTTGTGATGACATTCAAATGAAATGTAAAGAAAGATTACCACCTTACCACCAAGTCCATGACCTCAAATTTAGACTTAACAATGCCTGACTCTATTTTTAAATCTCTTAGTTTCCATTCTGTCTGAAGAAGTTGGTTTCACCTATCATATGATTTGATTCCTTTGGAATTTATGCCTGCTTGTGGTCCTGTCACCTCTGTCTGGATAGGAAATTAGTATAGCAGACTAGGAAAAGAAAGAGATAAGATCGATCAGTGGATGGAAAGGAAGAATGGGAGAAAACTATTGGCATCCCTAGTATGTATATACTCTCTTCTCCAGTCTTACTAGAACTACTCTAGTTCATTGTCCTTTCTGCATACTGTTACTGCACATTGTATTCCTCCTAATGAGCTCCTTGAAGGCAAATATTTTATTGTTCTCATTATTCTACCTTCAGTTTCTAGCACAAAACCTGACATAAAATAGGTACTAATAAATGGAGCATTGGTTTTCTCTTTATTCTCAATGATGTCACTCAGATACGCTCTCTTTGGTAAAGACTTCCCAGTGCTACCCCATGTTATTTACTGTTGCTTTTGTACTTTGTGCATCTGCAACAGTTGCTTTCCTGCCTTCATGGTCACTTTTGTTTTTACTGTAGTATCTCTTTAGTTTGTCTTGCTAAACTGTGAGCCCCACAGAATAGGAACTATGGCTTCTTCGACTTAGTATCTAGTGACTCGTTATCAGTTGCATTGCACCTAAGAGGCTTTCAGTGCTTTGTGGGGTTTTATTGAATGAATAGAGTATTGGTAATAACTTTAATTGAAGTGCCCACGTTAAGTATAGCATGTAATATCAATGTTCATTAGTATGCTTTTGCAAAAAGTTATAAAAGGAAGAATTCATTAACTTGTGCTCAATTTAATTTAATATTTTCAATCTGCTGGATTTGTGGAGTTAGTGTCTATTCTGATGCTGTCCAGTACAATAGTTACTAATTACATGGGTCTGTTTAAATTAATTTGAATGAAATGAAATGTATAATTCAGTTACTGGAATTCTGCTCTGGTCAAAATGAAGTACTAAGGACTATCTGAAACAAGCAAAACTGGATAATATATATATATATGTATAAAGAGCATGGTTGTTAGGACATAACATCAACCAATGAAGGAATATGATTGCTGAGAAATGGGAAATATATTGTGACACCAGATCACTAGTTTACTGACTTAAGAGTTTCCAGGTGTAGAAATCTACCCAAGAGACTGCACACTGTGAGTTGAGGTCATAAAGATAAGACCAAGAAGACTGAGGCAGCTAAATTTGTGGGACTAGGTACCCAAATCCAGAAGCCAACATAGAGAGCAAACTCAAACTGATTTATAGAAGGTACACATTTAGTATTTAGCAAAATACAGCTCTGCGTACTTTTGTGAAGAAACTGCATCATGCCTGGAAAAGACTCATTTGAAAGGATTAGAGGGAACATTCCTTGGTGCTCACATAACCTGCCCATTGGACAGCACACAAGCATTCAGTGTTATGGTCATTGCAGAAAGTTCTGTTGGGCAGAGTTGCCTCTTAAATGACTTGAGCATTATTAATACTGCTTATTAGGTCATAATCCTAGGACCTTTATTTTACTCCTCTAGGAAACCCTCTTGTTTAGAAATTAAGGTTTTTTAGAAGATGCGGGATACCTTGTGGTACAGTACTTTTAACTCGGGTTATTCACATATTCATTCAGTTTCCACTCATTCATTCAGTCTGTTAGGTATTTGCCCAAATCCTATCTTTAAAATGTCTCCAATGGTTAAGCATTTTCTATTCTTATAATGGGCAGGGAATTAATTTTGTTCTGATATTTTAGAGGAAAAATGTCCAGTATAAAAGGAAATTTTTACTGGTTTTAGTGCCCTTTTTTTAGCTTAGAAAAATATTCTTTATATCAATTAGAGCTGTGTATCATTTGAGTGTGTGGTTACCCCTCAGCATGGACTAAAAATACATTTATCTGTCTTTATTCTCAAGAGTCTCTCATCTGTATTTAGATTCCAGCTCTATCATTTATTGGTTATTTTACCTTGAGCAAAATATATATTAATATATCATTCTCTTTTGATATATCATTCTCCTTAGACCCTTCAGGTAGGTTGTAATGTGAAGTGTGTGGCAAATAATAGGTCTTCAATAGGTAGTTAGAGTTATAGCTGTTGTCTATGCTTGGTAGGTTATTAAAACATCAAGTAATAGAAGATTGTTACCAACAAACAGTGTTTAACAGCTCATGTAGTGTAATGTATTGTTCTTCTTAAGTTTTTGGAGGGAAGAAATGAAAAAGATTATTAGACTTGCTGTTCCCTCCTTTCATACATTTGAAAAAAATAGATGGGGGAGTAACATTTTTAGAGCATATGAACAATTAAACTGCACTTTTATTGTAAGGAAATGTAGTTACATGTTTTGTTTTGTTTTTTCCATTTATTCTGACCTGCTGGCTTTTTTTTTGTTAATAAATTTTATTTTTATATACCCCATACAATTGCAACCCCCTTATTTTGACCCCAATCCCTCCCCTCCCCGCCCCCTATCCTCCATAGAGTGTCTCTGGTTCACATTTTTTTGTTGTTGATTTTGATTTTCACTTTCTTATAGTTATTCATTTTCTTGGTCCCTTACTTAAGTTTTCTAGATTCCTGCTATGAGTGAGACCATCCGGTATTTTTCTTTTTCTTTCTGGCTTATTTCGCTGAGCATGATCCCTTCCAGCGCCATCCATGTTGCTGCAAATTGCATGTGTTTATCTTTTTTGAATGCTGAGTAATATTCCATGGTGTATATGTACCACATTTTCTTGATCCAGTCATCTATTTTTGGGCATTTGGGTTGTTTCCAAAGCTTAGCTATTGTAAACAGTGCTGCTATAAACATAGGGGTGCAGGTGCTCTTTGGAATTGATGTTTCTGTGTCCTTTGGGTAAATACCTAGGAGTGGAATTGCTGGATCATATGGAAGCTCTATGTTTAGTAGGTCCAGAAATCTCCACACAGCTCTCCATAGTGGTTGGACCAGTTTGCACTCCCACCAACAGTGCAGAAGAGTTCCTTTTTCTCCACATCCTCCCCAATATTCATTGTTGCTAGTTTTTTTAATATGTGCCATTCTCACTGGTGTAAGATGGTATCTCATTGTAGTTTTGATTTGCATTTCCCTGATTACAAGTGATGTTGAACATTTTTTCATATGCTTGTTGGCCATTTGCATTTCCTCTTCAGAAAAGTTTCTTTTTAGCTCTTCTGCCCATTTTTTGACTGGATTATTTTCTTTGTTGTTGTTGAGTCTCATCAGCTCTTTGCAGATTTTGTGATCAGTCCTTTATCATTAGTGTTGTGTGCAAAAATGTTCTCCCAGTTGGTGGGGTTTCTCTTTGTTTTTGTTATTGTCTCTTTTGCTGTGCAGAAGCTCTTTAATTTGATGTAGTCCCAGCTGTTTATCTTTGCCTTCACTATCACTGCTTTGGGTGATATGTCTGTAAAGATGTCTTTGATATGAATATCACGTAGTATTTCGCCTATATTTCCTTCTATGTATTTTATGGTTTCAGGTCTTATGTCTAGTTCTTTAATCCATTTTGAGTTGATTTTTGTGTATGGTGTGAGGTAGTGGTCAAGCTTCATTCTTTTGCATGTAGCAATCCAGTTTTCCCAGCACCTTTTATTGAACAAACTTTCTTTGCTCCAATGTATAGTCTTTGCTCCTTTGTCAAAGATTAGTTGACCATAAATCTGTGGGTTTATTTCTGGATTTTCTATTCGATTCCATTGGTCTGTATGTCTGTTCTTGTTCCAATACCATGCAGTTTTGATGATTATGGCTTTGTAGTATAGTTTGAAGTTTGGGCGTGTGATGCCTCCATTCCCTTCTTTTTTTTTTTCAGGAGAGCTTTGGCTATTTGGGGTTTTTGGTGATTCCATATGAATTTCATCAATAATTGTTCTATTTCTTTGAAGAATGACATTGAAATTTTGATTGGAATAGCATTGAATCTGTATATTGCTTTTGGTAGGATGGCCATTTTAATAATGTTTATTCTTTCAATCCATGAGCAGGGGATGTCTTTCCATTTCTTTGTGTCTTCTTCTATTTCTTTTAACAGTGTTTTATAGTTTTCTTTGTATAGGTCCTTTACCTCTTTTGTTAGATTTATTCCCAAGTATTTGTTTTTTTTGTTTCGATAATAAAAGGGATGGGTTTTTTTTATTTCTTCTTCTTCTGATTTATTGTTTGTGTATAGGAAGGCTACTGACTTTTGCATGCTGATTTTGTATCCTGCCACTTTACTGAACTGATTGATGAGTTGAATTAGTTTTTCTGTGGCGTTTTTGGAGTTCTCTATGTATATTATCATATCATCTGCAAATAGTGATAGTTTGACTTCTTCTTTTCCTATTTGGATTCCTTGTATGTCTTTCTCTTGTCTTGTTGCTCTGGCTAGGACTTCCAGTATTATATTGAAAAGCAGTGGTGAGAGTGGACATCCTTGTCTTGTTCCAGATCTTAATGGAATTGCTTTCAGCTTTTCACCATTGAGAATGATACTGGCTGTTGGCTTGTCATATATGGCCTTTATCATGTTGAGGTATGTTCCTTGTATCCCAAGAATTTCAAGGGCTTTTATCATGAATGGGTGTTGCACTTTGTCGAAAGCTTTCTCAGCATCTATTGATATTATCATATGGTTTTTGTATTTCTTTTTGTTGATGTGTTGGATAACGTTGATTGATTTTCTGATGTTGAACCATCCTTGTGTCCCTGGAATGAATCCTACTTGATCGTGGTGAATTATCTTGTGGATACATTGTTGGATTCTGATAGCTAAAATTTTATTGAGGATTTTTGCATCAGTGTTCATTAGGGAGATTGGCCTGTAGTTTTCCTTTTTTGTGTTGTCCTTGTTTGGTTTTGGTATTAGTGTAATGTTGGCTTCATAGAACGTGTTTGGTATTGTCCCTTCCTTCTCAATTTTTTGGAAGAGTTTGTGAAGGATAGGCACCAATTAGTCTCTAAATGTTTGGTAGAATTCATTTGTAAATCCATCAGGTCCTGGGCTTTTGTTTTGGGGGAGGTTTTTGATTACCATTTCAATTTCGCTGCTTGTAATTGGTCTGTTTAGGTGTTCTATTTCTTCTTTATCTAGCTTTGGGTGATTGTAGAGTTGTAGGAATTTGTCCATCTCCTCTAGATTGTTGAACTTGTTTCCATATAACTGTTCATAGTAGTTACTGATTATTCTTTTGATTTCTGCTGTGTCCGTTGTGATTTCTCCTCTTTCATTTATGATCCTGTTTATTTGTGCTTTCTCCCTTTTTTCTTTGTGAGCCTGGCTAGGGGTTTGTCTATTTTATTGATTTTTTCAAAGAACCAGCTCTTGGTTTCATTGATCTTTTGGATTGTTTTTTTAGTTTCGATTTCATTTATTTCTGCTTTGGTTTTTATTATTTCTTTTCTTCTACTGGTTTTGGGGTTTTTTTGTTGTTCTTTTTCTAGATCTTTGAGCTTCACGATTAGGTTGTTTCTTTGAGTTCTTTCTTGTTTCTTGATGTGAGCCTCTATTGCTATATATTTTCCTCTTATTACTGCTTTTGTTGCATCCCATACATTCAGGAAATTGGTGTCCTCCTTGTCATTCAATTCAAAGAATTTTTTAATTTCTTCTTTGATCTCCTCATTAGTCCAGTGGTCTTCCAGTAGTGTGGGTTTCAATCTCCATGAGGTAGGAGAGTTCCTTGCCTTCTTTTTATGGTTTATTTCTAGTTTGATGCCTTCATGGTCAGAAAAGATGGTTGGTATGATTTCAATCTTGGTGTATCTGTTGATGTTTGTCTTGTGCCCCAGTATGTGATCGATCCTGGAGAATGATCCATGTGCGCTTGAGAAAAATGTGTACTCCGTATTTTTTTGGGTTTAGTGTTCTATAGATGTCTGTTAAGCTGGCTTTTTATTTACTCGAAAAGCCTTATGATGACAAAAACCCCGAGAGGCAGTATCCTAACTTTTATCTCTTACTAAATATAACTTCATATGCCTATAAACAGATTTTTAGTTTCTCTGTGTCTCAGTGTCATCCATAAAGAAGGGGGATGGGATAGGCTGGGGAGGCAGGGACAATAACAGTGGCTAGTTTATTTAAGTGGCCTCATATATATTCAGAACCTAAAGTCTGGCATATGGTAAGCATTATATAAGTAATGTTGTTTTTACTGTTTTGGCCTTTGGTAATGAAGCAATCAAATTTTTCTTTTAATATACTGTAAATACATATAAATGGGGATTATGAAAGATCCCCATGTGAGGAACTTCCAAGTGGATTCATCCTTTACTAGTTTTTTTTTTCCTAGTTTGTTTACATGATGTCCACCCCTTGGACTCCTTGCCTACAAAGTAGTACGACAATTTTGACTCAGGGGCAGTTGCTGCTAATCCAGAATTAATCCTACTCCCTGTCTTGTCTTAGATTGGCATTAGTAAGGAGGTAGAATGGGTGGCCCCAGGCGGGCAAGCCTGGTAGGCTAGTTTGAAAATCCAAGCTCTTCTGTTTTGTTAAAATCTAAACAGGTTATTTAACTTCTCTCAGGCTCGGTTTTCTTACCTGTTAAATATGAATAATTCCGTTCTTTATACCATTGTCTTAAGCTTAAATAGCCTACATAGAAGAGAATCAGTAGGGTAGAATTTGTATTGGTTTGTATCAGTCCCAGTTTAAACCTGTGGTTCTGACACAATTGTTAATAGTACTCCCTTTCACTCAGAAAGTCTCTTGGTTTGGATGATAAATTATGTGATCATTCTACCTCTCACATTTCCTTGCATAGAATTGTCAAGCAAAGAGCACTTTTACTTTTCTTTATTATTATTAATTGCATGGTATTAATATGCTTGGTTCAGCCAGGCAGTAAATATTTAATGAATGTCTACATGTTTAAAGTGCTGGTCAGCTGGACTGCCAAGATGTGGTGGTGAAAATACTGAAAAGAATTTTAATTGAAAGGAGATTGGATATTTAAGAAATAGTAAAAATGTACTTTATGCTTTTCTAGGTTTACCTTACAAATTTGAAGTACAACAGATGTTAGAAGAACCTCGGTGGGGATTAGTATTTGAAAAGACAAGATGGATAATAGAAAAATACAGACTCTCCCATAGGTATGTGCTGTGGTTTGAGATGGTTACATATTTGCAGCATTTCTCATTAAATTATGTTTTAGGGAAAACCCAAGTTAAAAATAAAAATTGTGATGTATGGCATCAACCATAGTTTATTACAAAACTGATTAGTTTATAGTGTTTTTTTCATTGTTTTGTTTTCATATTTCTTCCTACAGTAGTGTCCCCATGGATAAAATCTTTCGCCGGGATTCTGACCTGACTTGTTTGCAGAAAGTAAGCTGCCTTCATTTTAATTGGTTCCATTGTTCACAGATTCTAAAGCTATTCATCTTGATGTGTTTTCCCATGATGCCTAATGCTTTGTGGATACATTTTCTGTGTTTCCTTTATAGCTTTTTCCCTTCTAAAATTAATTTCTAGGAGATAATTAGTAATGTGTTTTGTTGCCCACACTTGCATATAGAAATAATACTGTTTTAGAATAAATTTGTCAGTGTTAGCTGATAAATTTCTTCACAGATTATTACTGTGCACAATGGAGAATATTTTTCTCATTTTTATTAACTTCAAAAGTACTGTGTTTCCATTTTAGCTTTAACAGTTGATCATTTTAAAAAATGGTAATATAAATCTAACAATTAAATTTAAATGGTTATTTTATTTAACTTTCTGGTAGGAAATGAGTTCTGAAATTTTTTTCAATTATAGTGCTGATACTATGATTAGTTTAATGAGTTAAGAGTTAAGTTTAACAAGTTAAGACCAATATAGACTAGCAACATGATTTTGGTTTTATTTTTGTTTTTTTGGTAGCAACTCGGGAATAGAAAATTTAAACATTCTTTTTAATATCTTTTGCCCCTTCTATGATTGTCACTCTCTATGTTCAATTGGAATGTTAATATGCATATTTCTCAGGAATAGACCAGTGTCCCAGTTTTGAAATAGTAGAGTCCTATGCTTATATGAATGTATATTTCCATCCTTCTGCATTGTGTTGTAAATGTAACTACTAAAAAAGGAAAGCAAAATCACAAAGTTGTCCATAGTAGAAAGCATCAGGTTGCTTTTATAAAAACTAGGGGAGCTAACATAAGCATTTCTCAACACTGACTTTCCTACACCCATCTGTCGGACACAATTTCAGGAGAATGTGTCCTTAACATTTAACATATAAGGAGAACATTTCTCATGTGAGGATTAGAAAGTGTGAGAACTAGAAAGGGATAAAATAATGATAGCAATGCAAACCCTTTTCCTACTTTTTATGTATTTAAATGTAAAACTTCTCTTTTCAACTAGCTTTTGGAATGTCTGAGGAAAACCCTGAGCAAAGTGGCCAATTGCTTCATTGCTGAAGAATTCTTGACGCAAATAGAAAATTTGTTTCTTTCCAATTATAAGAGCAAGCAAGAGAATGGAATGGCTGAAGAGAACTTTGCTGTGGATCCAAAGGAATAATTAATGTAATTCTTTTAAAGTAAGACATTTTAATCTTGACCTGATAGATCCTACTTTCAGGTTACAGCTTTGACATTATTGTAATTTAGCTAACACTGACACAGCTTTGATAATTTTTCTCCACTTACCAGAATTAAAACTTTCCCACCTATGTGGCAAGATGAACTTGTTTGCATAGTGACTATCAGAGTTGTGTAAACCAGGCCACTACTCTGCTGCAATCCTACTGGGGCCAGTGAGCACTGCAGTGCACTCTGAGGGGCAGTCTGCCTTACTGTTGTGTTGAGGCTGATAAGCGGAATCTGCCTGTAGTTTTTGTTTCTCCCTTATTTTTGATAGCTCATATCTCATTAGGAAACCTTGCATTTTTTCTTTCTGTTTTGGTGAGATTTCTTTATGGTTGCAAATGAGATATGAATGGTGGTCAAGAAACATTGTTAACATAGCTGAGAACTGCTGGTTTAATTAACTAAACCTAGAGATTAAGAGAAAGCATGATGAGAAAATCTTAAAAATAGAGAAGAAACAGAATCACATTACCAATTTATAAATTACAGATACTGGCTTCCATTTTATTTTATAAGATACTATAGGATATGCCATTTTATTAGCTGCCTGAAACATTTTGTATGGATTTCAGATACAGTAATCAATTTCTTCTATATGTCCACTTCCATTAATGTGTGTAGTAAAACCTCATTTAACTGGATAATGGACAAATTGCAATAATGTTTACTAAATCAGATAGTTAATTTTAATTAAAAAATAAATACTTCACGGACGTAATATTTAGCCCAGTTCATATACTTTCTGAATCTAGAACAGAGGTCAGCAAACAAACGTTTTATGTGAAGGGCCGCTTAGTAACAGGCTTTCTAGGCCACATAGTTTCATCTCTATCAGACAATACTCTCTACATATGTTATTCAACCTTTTAAAAACATAAAACCTTTCTGAGCTCATGGACCTCACAAGAAACAAGTTGTGGACCATTATTTTCCAAACTCTGCTGTAGAGAATGAAAACATTTACAATTTATTATCAGCTACATGAGCCTGAGACACTGAAAGTTCTTGCATCATCTTCAGACAATAAGAAAACTCAAAATTTGATTTACGTTTAAGTACATTTTCAAATAAGTAACCATGCTGCCTGGTGTATTCTGATGGATTTTAGCTTATTTCTATTAACTATAGAATTGGTTTATATCCATTCTTCAAATATCCTTATTAAACAGTTTTATTACATCTAAACTAAGTATGATTCTGTATTCATGTTTTTTGTTTTGGTTTTTGTTTTTTTCTCATTGTAATCAACATCCAGTTAAGAATAAACAGTATTAAAAGGAGCGACGAACCTGTTTTAGATGACCTGAATTTTGTCCAAACTTGTGATTTGTGATGGGGGGTTAATTTATCTTCTCTGGGTCTAAGTTCTCATATAATTGAGATCTAAATGATTTTCCTAGTATGCTTTCAGGTCTAAAGTCCTATGGTTCACTCCAACTGTTGATTGGATTATTCACTTAGAGCTTTATATTTTGAGAGGGTATGGTTCCCAAATTAATAATTGGGTTTTTTTTTTGTTTTGGGGGGTTTTTTTGTTTGTTTGTTTGTTTGTTTGTTTATTTTTGGTAAAGAAAGCTAGTAGTATTTCTCATGTCTCTATATGCATTTAAGACAAACCATGGAACATAGTTTATTAAAACAGTTACTTTGGGAACCATGGTCTAAGAGTTCTAGACCAAAAATCAGGAAACCTGAGTTCTTACCCTAATTCTGTTATCAACTTTGCTTTGTGTTAATGATAAAATCACCTGGTGTTATGACTGAGTATTCCCTTACAAGCACAGAGAGTTGGATGTTACAGAATACAATAATTCATGCCTTTGTGCTCTTCTTATCTTTAATTTCTTTCTGCATTGTACATCAGGAACAGATCCTTTAAAGTGGTATTAATTGACTTTCTTGATTGACATTTCCCTGTAATATTGATGAATTTGGGTGATGGAAATAGTAGAAATTGTTCAAAGTTCTATTCTCAAATCTGGCTTTCTCTATAGTGGTTAACAACATTTATGAGGAACTCAAAGATAGTCATCTTCAGAGCTTAGAGACCCCAATTTTTGAAATAATATCTTACTGAGTATTTTCTTCTGAAGACAGAATATATTCCTTATAAAACAAATTTTTAAAAACAAGTATAAATCAATTATTATAATCCTACTACCTAGAAAACCAGCTACCATTTTAGTATATGAATACGTCCCCATTTTTTAACTGTAATTTTAAATCATTAAAATCTTTGATCTTTTCCTCCCTCCCCACTCATTTATATTCTCCATACTTCCTTTTTTCTTTTATAATGTTCTTAAAATATTTTTATTTTTGTAACTAGGTGCCACATTCCTGTCACTGTCAGCTTTGGGCTACCAAGGGTAGTTGGAGCCAAGACCTTAAAGAAGCACAGAGAAAGTCTAGAACCAAGTAGTAGTGTAATATAGGAAGTTCAGGAGGCAGGATCTCAAAGGAGCCCTACTTTTAGTTGTGTTCACAGGAGTGAAGATGGGACTTGAAAACATCTAAGCCTCTTGGATGTGAGGACATCCCAATTTTGGTTCTGATTTTACCTACACTCTCTTCTACCAATAGCTTGAGACTTACTCTGGAGTCATACATGAAATTTGGAAAATTAATTTCACCCAAGTGCAAAGAAGAAAGCACATACTTTTTTATCATGAGCAGCTGCCTCATGATGGTTAATACAAAAGAAAAGTGGACTTGCACTCCAGTTTACCAGAAGTATAATATTTATATTACAAATTAATACAGTGTTTTGCAATATTTCTAGAAAGTCACAGTGAAGAATAATATGTAATGTACTTTGGTTTATTTCTGACATCTTAAGTGGTTTTATATGTGCTATTTCCTCCATGTTCTGTTTTCTCTATTTTTTTATTTAAAGTATAATTTTTGCTTTTGATATCTTCTGAATCTATTTTTAAGATACCTTAATTCCTTTCTGGAACAAGTCAGAATATGTTATCTCCCCTAAATCATGAAAATATTCCAGAGAATCTATGATTATGTCAATGGCCCTGTACCAAACTTGAGGTAAAATTCGCTTGTAATATCTGTTTTTTTGTTTTTTTTTTAACTTTCTTACTTTGATGTTGATAAATATGTTCATAAGAGCATTAATTTTAGGGGAAAATGCCTGATTTGGAATCTTTGAGATTTTCTGAAATAGTGTATTAAGAAGTATGTTAAATAAGATTTTGTAGTCTGTATTCCTGTTTCATAGGTTACTACAGAACATTTATTTCAGCCTATGAATTTTAAAATAGTATTCAGATTCTAGCATGACTTAAACAGATTGGTCATATATAAACTTGTGGATTAGATATATAAATTGTTTATTATAAATGTTTACTATGATTGATAAACCTGTTACTGTTGTTTTCCCCAAATGTTGATGTTTATGGATTTCTCTTGTTAGTTTGAATTTTGGAATGTTCTATAAGAAAACAATGATTTAAACTATTTTGTACGTTTGAATATGATGCCACATTGTGTATATCTTTAATATAGAATGTTGTAAATATTAATGTTTGTATGATTATGAAAGCTTTTCCTCAAAATGATTGAACTCTCTTCCCATACTTAACTGTGACATATATTATCTGATTTTAAGCTTTGGGATTTTATTGTGCAGTAAAAATTAAGGGGAAGCATTATGAAGATTCTATTATAAATAAAATTTTGAAAATAGAATCATTTGCTTTCTCTCTGCATTATTAACAGTGAACACATTGAATTTGCAAAAAATGTCCCATTGAATCAGCAAGCATTAGTTGAGCCTCTGTTACATTGAGCATTGAGGTGAGTAAATCTTGGCTTCTGCCCACAAGAAGCCTATTGTCTAAAAGTGGGAGACACATAAAACCCAATAAGGGTTGTTAAAATACTAAAATGCAAACTGCAATTATCAATTCCTGTAAAAGACTTCAAGGGTAATAAGTGTGTAGACAAAGGAGAAATAATTCTCTAGAATGGGAGCAGTAAAATTGATTTCTTAAAAGAGATTGTCTTTGAACAGCCTGGCAGGGTTTGCTTCAGTGACATTTGGGGGAAGGTAGTCTAGAGAGAAATTACCTTAGCCTTAATGTGAAAGTAAGGAAAGAGAAATAAATATTTAGAGAATGGTAAAGAGTCTTTAGCCAGCAGGCAGGGTATATGGAGATGTTAATTAAGAAAGAAATATACTTTCAACCAGCTATGCAGAAATATAAAGTGAATGAAAATCCACCTTAAAATCAGAATTAACTCATTAAATGGTCTTTAATTTTCCGATCTTCTTTTTCTAATCATTTTAACTCATCAATTTAAAAGCAGAATAATAACTATATATCTTTAATTTCTGTACTTTTATTGAAGACATCCTTATCAGTCCATAAACATCTGTTTTTTGCATATGCCCATGGCAGTCTGTAGTGTAGAATTGCCATGATTGATTAGTTTTCAGTTGATGAGCTTTAAGTTGTTCCCATTTTTCTATGAAAAAAATTCTTTTTTGGGGCACATTTACTGTTGCTCCCAATAGATTCCTAGAAGCTTAAGTGCTAGATCAAGATCTATGTATACTTTAAATGTTAGTAGGTGCAGAAAAATTAATTTCTACCAGCTAACTTTCCTGAAAGTCATATAGCCCCATTCATTTATTTACAAAGCCAGTTTGAATTCAGGCTTCTAAATGAAAATAATTTATGTGGCAAAGTACAATAAAAGATCCTAAGAATTGTAATTCCACGGGGCATTTATTTCTTTGGAAGTTCATTCCGCTATACAACTTGTTGTAGATTTCTTGTTAATAAGACATTTGCTATAATTTTCTAACTGTGGCACCATCATACTCTGCTCACGACTCCAGATGAGCATTGTCCCACAATCCTATTTGTACTTTAATGGTTTTTCTTACTGTTGCTGATGTGTTTCTACATCACTGATTCTCAATTATCTTTCCATAGAATGCTAGCTTAAATAAAATATTGTTGGTATTTGCTGAGATGTAGTTAAATAGAAAATTTGCCATTGCCTTCCATTTTTTTCTGTTATCTAAAACAAACCTTATCAACAACTAATTGTTACCTTATCAATAACTAATACCTGTTAACTGGGTATAATCAATGATTTCTTTCTCACCTCCCCCATTATCACCTCAAAATGCAGAAGAATTGGAGAGTTTCAGAAAGCAAGTTAACTGCATAGTTCACCTTATTGAACTTTTTATTTTGTTCCAAAACACCTAATAGGACTTAGCAGAAATTGTGGCGTCTGTGCCATCAATAAGTCACCAGAAGACTGTCCATATCAGTGGACACATCAGACTCCCTTTGTGTTGACCATTTTCAGAATAGAACTAATTTGCTAATTGCCAAAAAAAAAAAAAAAGAGTGAACTAATCTCCCACCCTGCCTCCCCCAAAGAATTTGTTTTTATGAAATTAGTTTGCTTTTATGCAATGTTTCATTAGAGTCCAGCACCATAGAATTAGAGTGTATGTAAGAATGATTAAGGTAGGTGCTTTAGTACACCATCCTTAATTTTCAGTGTGCTCACACAGCGGTTCTTTTCTCACACCAGCCCATGGCAGGTGTTCTGACTGGGTGATTTTCCTTGGCAGCTCCAGTAGGTAATTTAAGTACCCAGGTTCCTTTCACATGTGACTGCCAAGCTGTAACTCCATAGCCCAAGTGTCATCCCATCTTTCAGTACAAGATGAAAGAAAGAATGGAGCATCACACACCTATTTTGACAGTACACACTTGGATCACATACTTGAGTTGGAAGTACACACATTTTGCTCGCGTTCTTTTGGCAAAAACTAGTCATATTGTCCCACTGGAAGCAAGGCAGTGTTGCCAAATGGAATCCTGATTGAGCAGCTGCTTCTGTACAAAATTTACACATGGAAGGAGAACAAGAATTCTTGTTAATGGCTAGCCATCTCTATTGCAGATGGCTATGCTGATTGTATAAAATGTTACAAATATGTAAGTGAGCTTTAAGCTGCTTGAGACCCCAATTTCATATAGAAGAAGACATTTTTCGGGCCTCCCGGGTGGCGCAGCGGTTGAGCGCTGGGTTGCGAAGCTGCCCGCGGCCTCTGGCCTCTGCAGCGCCGGTTCGACATGGCGCGCAGACCTCTCCTGCCGCCCGCTACTCCCCTCAGCAGTGTACTTGTCTCTCTGCATGCTCTGCTCTCCCCTCCGGCTCTGGTGAATTCTCTCACCCTCCCGCGCTTCTGACTATACCCAGTGCTTGTACATATAAATAAATAAATAAATAAATCTTTAAAAAAAAAAAAAAAGAATGGACATTTTTCTAAGAAGCCAGAGCCTTAGTATTAAAAGAAATGGTTTGCTTACACCCTGAAATCAAAATATGTTGGAACTGGAAAGGACTTTGGAAATGTTCAGGCTTGAGGCAGTCTTATATTCTAATGTGAGGAAACCAAGATCCACAGAAATGAAGAAACTTAACCCAAAGTAAGAGAGCCAAAGCAGTAGCAAGGTAATCTCTGGAAATCCCCATTCTGTTGGCCAAGCATGTGAATGAGTCCAGATTATTTTCAATTTCATGGCATAAATAACTAGTCTGAAGATTTCATGTGTCATTTGAATGTAAAAAATAATTTGTTTTAAAATACAAAATGTATGTTTTAAAAATTTGTCTTTAAGAACGGCAAAATCTAATGCCCGGATATGAATTTTATTGAAACATTGACTAAGGAATTTCTGTTAGAAGTGATATAATTAATGAAATGTAACAGCTTTATCTAAAACTAATTTTATAAACTTTGAGATTAGCAACCCCCCAAATCCTTGCTGTTTTCCTTATATATTCACAAAACTCCATTTGTTCTTCAATCTTAATGAAAATGTTAATATCTAAGCCACTAGATGGTGCTCTGTCACAGTGTATGAGCAGGGAGATCTCAAACCTGTAATGTTAACTTACAAAAATCAAAAGATTGCATATATGGCTGAAATTGTAAACACTGTAAAATTGCAGTAGTTCAGCTCCTTGACATTGTGTGATCTAGTGGTAAGATTCCTTGCTTCATAAGTCTCAGTTTAGCCGTTTTCATTTTTGAAGTTACAGCATCCATTCATTTATACATAGATAAAATACTAAATACTTTATATACAGTATCACATTTAATTCCCACAGCTACCCTGCAAGAACAGTTTTATTATCCCCATTTTACTTCTTTTTTTTTTTTGTAAAGATTTATTTATACAAGAGCTGGGGCCAGAAGTGTTGGGGGGTGAGAGGATTCACCAGAGACAGAGTGGGGAGCCAAACAGGCAGATCTACCGAAATAACACTGCTGAGGGAAGCAGCGGATGAGACAGGAGAGGTCTGCTACGCCATGTGGTTTAGCTCCCTGGCTGGGGATTGAACTTGTGCTGCAGTGGCTGGTGATAGTGCTGAGACTTAACCACTGGCACCACTAGGGAGGCCCTTATTATCCCCATTTTAAACTACAGTTTTTAAGTAACTTATACAAGGTCTTGCAACCAGAAGTGGCAGACAGAATTCAAACAGGGTCATCATAAAATTCTAAAGCCAGAGCACCCATCCTCATGTTGTTGGTTTCAGAGCTGGAAGGTACCTAAGGAACAATTTAGTTCAGTCTCCTCATTTCTGCATGAAAGAACTGACCCCCAGAGATGAGAAGTACCTAGTCCAAGTCACAGCCCCAGTCAAGGCCAGACTGGAAAATCAAGTTCTTCCCATTGCCAGCACACCTGGATCACACCTCATGGGAGTCCCGGCCTTCTCAGGACAACCAAAGAAATCCTGTGCCAAAGATGCTGTGCCACGCTTTACCCTAACATGGTGGGTCGATGTTACCTAGACAATAGAAGAAATGGACCCAATATGCTTGAACGTGATTCTCTTTTTTCTCCATTACGGTCAAACCTGGGAAAGTGAATTTTTTTTTTTAAAGATTCATTTATTTATTTATACAGACACTGGGTACAGTCAGAAGAGCGGGAGGGTGAGAGGATTCACCAGAGCCAGAGCGGGGGACAGAACAGGCAGACTGACGAAATACACTGCTGAGGGGAGCAGCGGGCACGGCAGGAGAGGTCTGCTGCCATGTGGGACCCTCACCGGTGGCTGGGAATCGAACCAGCGCTGCAGAATCTGCGGCTTCGCAGCCCAGCCCTGAACCGCTTTGCCACCAGAGGAGGCCCCTGGGGAAAGTGAATTTTTAAGACACCTTGCATTTTCAAAAGTAATCTCTCTCCATTCAGGCACCGTCCGCCCTCTTTCTGTGAAGCACAAATATAATCATGCTGCTTCTCTGCTTTACATTCCTGAACAAATCAAGCTTTCTGAACCAAGCCCCACATGGAAGTTTAGAAGACCTTTATGATGTGTCTCTAGTCTCACCTCTCTCCAGCCCTCTTCCCCTCCCAGCATATTCGTGTGTGCACACGCACACACATACTTCTATCCGAACAAATCCAAACACCTGCAGTTCCACTTGTGCAGGCCTATCCACACCTTTCCATTTGCTTGGATCTCCCCTCCCTAGTTCCACCATCCTCTTCTATGTGACCTTCCAAATTCAGACTCACTTCTACTTAGAAACTCACTTTGACTCTTCACTCCAGACTGGATCTGATTTCACCCGAGCCCCTATAACACCTTCTTCTTACCTGGATCACAGCCCCAGTCACACTGGCTTTTACTTATCTGCCCTTTTCCGATGCCCTCACTGGAATTGAGTTCTTCATTAGCACAGACCCTGCCTTCTTAAACTGTATTCCCGGGACCTAATGTAATAGCCTAGATTAAGAAAGCACTTAACAGCAATTTGATGAATGAATAAATGACTGACTGAATGAAAGAAAGCAAAAAAAGACAAGGCAGATCCTCATGGGAAATCAGTTCTATTACACACGGATGCCAGATTTTCTTCTTTTCTGCTAAAAGGAGGAGAAAAGAACTAAGGCAGGACTGTTCTGAAAAAATAAGCCCCATAATGGGGTGAGAGCTGAGAGCCTCAGAGAAGCAACATCTCTTCATTAGCATAAGTGCTAGGAGAGTTGAAGCAACTGATTAGCAAGGGCAGCCTGCTCCTGAAGATGCATTCTCCTGCAATTTCTTCAAAAACACAAAGGCAGGTGAGATTATAACATTCTAAATATAATTGCATTTCCTAATCAAAAATGCAACATAACTCGGATAATTTTGCAGTTTCTGTAGCTTTACCACTTTACCCTCTGAATATTTTTCTCCCTGCGAAATGGCAGTATGTGCTCTAACATTTTGATATGCCT